ATTGTCTAAGATGGACTGAAACCAGGACAGCATCCTCCTCTCTGCCACGGTGGTCAGGGTGTCCAGCTGCTCCCCAACAACATTACCGGCCCTCCTGATCAATTTGTTTAGTCTGTTGTTGACAGCGACCCTCAGCCCACTGCCCCCAGCATGTGACAAGAAAGAAAAGCATGCTAGCAACAACATTCATAAAACATCCTCACAGGTGTTTTTGTCCTCCTTAAAGATGATAAATACAGAATTCATGCTCTTTTCAGAACTAGATGTTGTGTTTTATTGGGTAAAGAGAAAAATGTGTGTCTCTGCAAGTCATCTAGCAGTCTTCAATAAAATCATAGATAAATAACTATTTTAATGAAAGCATATTAAATAACCAATTCATGTAGATATTAGTACATGTAAATATCAATTTAATGCATAATAATTACTGATAAAAGTGGGTAAGTAATGACAATGGAAAAGATGTTCGCCCAAAACACAAACCTGAAAGAATTTTATCCACTATACGTTTTATGTAGAAAACACGGATATTTGAATATATTCCTCTATTTGTCAGCAAAGGCTGTGGGAAAGTATAGTTTGTCTTTATTTAGAAAATATGGATGTTTTGCTCGTTCATTTTCTGGTTGGAACAGTGTAGATTGACCGTGAGGTTTTGGTGCCTGTCTACTTATGTCCACCCCTCAGTGTACATTGGTTATTGCCTGGCCACCCTTATAATTTTTTTTCCGGCTATGCCTCTCCATTGTAAGTGTGCAGTGGTGTCAAAGGTACACACATTTGTTACTTAAGTAGAAGTATAGATACTGTAGTTTAAAAACACTCTGATAAAAGTTGAAGTATTAACTTGACCTCTTTACTCAATTACAAGTGAAAAAGTATGTCCTCCAAAGACTACTTAAAGTATCAGAGTATGAAGTAACCTTCAGCCAGATGCCACTACATGAATTGAAAGCATAATTTTTTGACTATTTCGGAAAACTCCTGTGAGGTAGGGCCAAGGATGAGGGAGGTCTTGTTGGTCTCCATCACCCGATACGGTCTCGCCTGTGTCCGACCTTTCAGACATTTCAACATCTTTTTCTGAATCTGACATTGTAGCCAGGGGCGGAGTTAGATGGGGGGCCAGAGATGGCAATGGCCCTCCTTAGCCAATCATTGGCCACCCCCTACCATTTTTTCCCCTTCTAATACAGATGGTGGCAGCAGTAATACTCTCAAGTGGAATATTCAAAACATTTTAATTTTTCATACATTAACAATTACTTCACACAAAAAAAAACACTGTTATTAATTATGCACATCAATGTACTAATGTTAAAGACGATAAGTACAGAATTCATGATCTTTCAGAACTAGATTTTGTTTTATGTGGGGTAAAGAGAAAATTGTGCGTGTCTGCAAATTGTCTAGGAGTCTTCAGTGAAATTATAGATAACTATTATAGTAAAAACGTATTAAATAATCAATTTATATAGATATTAGTACTTGTAAATGTTAATTTTATGCATAATGATTATTAATAAAAGTAGATAAGTAAAGACAATGGAAAAGATGTTCGCTCCAGAACTCAAACCTGAAAGGATTTTATCCACTATACCTTTAATCTAGAAAGCACGGATGTTGAAATATATGTGTCAATTTGTTAGAAAAAGGCTGTAGGAAAGTAAAGTTAGTCTTTATTTAGTGAATATGGATGTTGTGCTTGTTATTTTTCATTGTTGGAACAGTGTTGATTGACCCTGAGGCTCTGGCGCCTATGCGCTTACGGCCACCCCTCAGTGTACATTGGTAATTGCCTGGCCACCCTTATAAAATTTTTCTAGCTACGCCTCTGATTGTAGCATGGCATAGACAATTCACGTTTACAGTTTAAAGAACACCTGCTTGCTTCTGATGATTTCCTTTAGCTAACCAATGTGTGTTTGCGTTAAATTACTCATCAAATCACACTAGTTTTCACTAGATGTGGATGGAGCCAATGATCTGCATTGGATGGCGCACATGACGTGAAATAAATATTTATAAACATTAAACCCAAGCGAAGAATAATGAGTAACGTTTGTTTTAAAAAATAAAGGACTAGAAAGTACAGACACTTGTGTGAAAATGTAATAAGTAGAAGTCAGAAGTAGGTAATAAGTAATAAGTAATGGAGTAAAGCCCAGATGATCAGAATCAGAATCAGAAATACTTTAATAATCCCAGAGGGAAATTACTTTTGTTACACGCTTTAGTTACAGTTTTACATGATACATACACACATCCATCTATACAATATAATAAAGATAAAAAATAAGAATAAAAAGAGATAAAATATATATACACATATAGCTCTTCTGTATATATATCTGTACACAAACACACAAAATTATATAAATATATACACGTATAACTCTTCTAGAGATTAATGACCACAGGTAGGAATGATTTCCTGTGGCGCTCTGTGGTGCATCTGGGTAGGAGGAGTCTTCTGCTGAAGGAGCTCGTCTGCTGGACCAGTGTGTCATGGAGAGGATGTGAGTCATTGTCTAAGATGGACTGAAACCAGGACAGCATCCTCCTCTCTGCCACAGTGCTCAGGGTGTCCAGCTGCTCCCCCACAACACCACCGGCCCTCTTGATCAGTTTGTTCAGTCTGTTGTTTTCAGCGACCCTCAGCCCTCTCTGCTGTTCTCACCACTTTTCTCACTTTCTTCCAGTCTGAGGCGCTGCAGCCTCCACCCCACACAGTGAGACAGCTGGTCAGAACGCTCTCTCTCTCTCTCGCTGTAGAAGGTGGTGAGGATGGGTGGGGCTCTCCTCATCCTCACAGGAAGTACATGCGCTTTTGTGTTTACAGTCCAGGTGAGGGTGTCTGTGATGTGCACCATCAGGAATTTAGTGCTGCTGACCACCTCTACAGCTGAGCTGTTGATGACCAGTGGAGGGTGGTTAGGCTGGTTCTTCCTGAAGTCCAAGATGATCTCCACGTTCAGGATCAGGCTGTTTGCACCTGCCCACCGGCTGCTTCACCTCCTCGCTGTAGTTCTGATCGTTTTCGTCTCTTATAAGGCCCTCCACCGTGGTGTTGTCTGAAGTTTTCAGACAACACCACGGTGGAGAGCAGCAGAGATGGCGTCCTTGGTGGAGTGGTTCTATCGGTAGGCAAATTGGAATCGGTCAAATGTTGGGGGGAGACTTTATAAGTGGGGGGGGGTGCAATATATTTTTTTTTATTATAACTAACTTCAGCGTGTTTGACTGTCCAATCATAGACCCCAATTCAGTGGCGCATCAGATGTTTGTAAGGTGAGCTTCTCAGGAGTGACGGCGATGACAGCCAATCACAAAAGAAGTCACAGTGAGCCAATCGGGAGCTTTGGGGTGGTCTTAACTCAGGGAAGTGGGCTTCAGCTTGAACTGTGATTTTCCGCATGGTCCGAATGCTCAACGATCGTCTGTGCACTTTAGTGTACCATTGATTTTGGACAGTAAAATGTGCATGGGACCAAAACGGAGGATTGATAAAGTGCAGGGGACATGACCCCCCCCAATCCCACCCCCAAAACTACGTCCATGGTCCATCTATTTATATAAATTAAGCTATAATATAAATCCAATTTTTAATCTTGTTGCTCTGAATCTACATTTTGATTTAAACATTTTATGATTCCTAACAGGTTGTTAAAATAAAATAAAATAAATAAATACGTACATTTTTAACTGTCTAAGAAAAGAACAACAACGGCCAAGTTAATGGTAAAAACTTTCAAAGATATAAGTTCCCTACAGTTAATTAAATTTTGTCGTATAAACTCAATATTAGAAAAAGGAAGTTTTATTTTGAAAAGCATCCACATGTTCTGCTTTCATTGCCTGCTCGGAAATCAGAGTTCCAGGTGTCATTTTTCAGAAGGAAATACCCCCTAGATTTTTTTTTGTTTGTTTATGTTGTTGTTGAACTTGCTTAATCTTGTATATTCATTAATTGAAATAAATAATAAAGAAGAAGTAAGGAAGGTGGGACCTCAAAACGGAACACGCCGCGCACGCAGCCCTGCGTAATCAATCACGTCTTTTCATAGTTGAATGTTTTTCTGGTCTGTTATGGTACCTTTTATACTGTAAGAATGTTAAATGAGGTTAAAGAAAAATCTAACTACAGTAGTTTAACTTGAACGACCAGTCCGAAGTTATGGGATTTCTGAGGTACATTGAACGCAGCACCGGTTTTGCTTCCGGGTGTTTGGGGTTACTGCTCGCGCTGCTCACGTTTCGAAGAACGCTGGTGGACTTCTCCATCTCTGAGCTGAGAAACTGTTGTCCTGGAGCCCGGTGCCGTTTCCATGGTGAAAGGAACGTAGCTTTTTCGGAAAGTTCGGGAACCAACAGGAACCCCGCGTGGTTCTGTTCAGTAAAAAAGTGTGAGTACAACCGGGGCGTGTTGAGAGGGTCCAGCAGGAGGAGCAGCAGAGGTTCTGACTAGACCTGCAGTTCTGCAGGATTCTGGTCCTTTGGGTTTTCTACTAGAACATTTTAGAGAACTTTCCGCCTCCTTCTTTTGAGGAGTTTCATAGAGATGCTAAGTTTATTTCCCGCAGCTTTCGGTACCGACCCAGTCCGCCAGAGGTACCGAAAACTGCTTTCGTCACTATGGTAACAGAGTAAATTGGACCGAGACAGAACCCGACAGAGAAAGTGTTGATCAAACAGTGTGGGCTCAGTATCCGAGTCCAGATTCTGTTCAGTAGAACCACATTTCTATCAGAGTCCAGATTCTGTTCAGTAGAACCACATTTCTACCCAAGTCTAGATTCTGCTCAGTAGAACCACATTTCTATCCAAGTCCAGATTCTATTCAGTAGAACCACATTTCTATCCAAGTCCAGATTCTGTTCAGTAGAACCACATTTCTATCAGAGTCCAGATTCTGTTCAGTAGAACCACATTTCTATCAGAGTCCAGATTCTGTTCAGTAGAACCACATTTCTATCCAAGTCCAGATTCTATTCAGTAGAACCACATTTCTATCAGAGTCCAGATTCTGTTCAGTAGAACCACATTTCTATCAGAGTCCAGATTCTGTTCAGTAGAACCACATTTCTATCCAAGTCCAGATTCTGATCAGTAGAACCACATTTCTATCCAAGTCCAGATTCTGATCAGTAGAACCACATTTCTATCCAAGTCCAGATTCTGTTCAGTAGAACCACATTTCTACCCGAGTACAGATTCTATTCATTAGAACCACATTTCTACCCGAGTACAGATTCTATTCATTAGAACCACATTTCTACCCGAGTACAGATTCTATTCATTAGAACCACATTTCTACCCGAGTACAGATTCTATTCATTAGAACCACATTTCTACCCGAGTACAGATTCTATTCATTAGAACCACATTTCTACCCGAGTACAGATTCTATTCATTAGAACCACATTTCTACCCGAGTACAGATTCTATTCATTAGAACCACATTTCTACCCGAGTACAGATTCTATTCATTAGAACCACATTTCTATCCAAGTCCAGATTCTGTTCAGTAGAACCACATTTCTATCAGAGTAGATATTCTAGAACCACATTTTTGGGTTTGCTGTCAGTCCAGATGCTCAGAAGTGGATAAATCTCAGTAAACGATTGATAAGCTGATGAATGACCTCTGATGATGGTTGATAGATTCTTCTTCTTCTTCCTCAGTTTGTCCTCATCCAGATGAAGAACAGAGGAGGAGGAGGCTGGATGGACACTCGCCTGAAGCAACGAGTGGAGCAGGTCTGAACATTAGCAAAAAAGAGATGATGTGTTCTCCAGGAGTTCGCTGGTTTAGAGCGGCAAGGTGTATGGAATGTGTCCCTGTTAAAAGACACGGAGGCAGATGTCTGGTTTTGTGGTGGATTTACTGTGGCTATACAAAGGAATACAAATAACAGTCAGTGCAGAACACACCATTCATAATATAAATAAAATATTTATATCTGAACATAAAAGACTGTATTTAGCAATGACACATATATGACTCTATTGTGAATGAGAATACAGCACACTTCGAACATGGTGAAAATAAGCTTAGTAGCTGAACATCTGCAGCATAGAATGCTTAACATTAGACATATAATCTAATTTTTATACAATATAAAAATATGCACATAACACCATACAGCACAATAAAATACCATTAAACTACACATATAAAGGAAGGATGTAATGAGCTACACACTGCTGCATCAGTAGGAAAAACTCAGCCATCTCACATGCAGGTATGGTGCGTTCAATGGAGTTTCGAACGTCTATGGTGCGTTCATGAGCGTCAGCCATCTGACATCTCACCAAAAACACAATATAAAGGAACAGTTTCCAATGGAAAACATCTAAACAACATGGGCTTTCTAACACTTAGAAACGGTCGATCCGATGCTAGATAGAAAAATCCATCCTAGAAGAAAAATCAGTTCTGGCAGAATCTCACCTGTCTGATTAAACACTATCTATATTTATGGTGACAGATCAGTTCTGATAAAACGATCTGTAATTCCCCAGAACTAGCAGAGGAAACCTTTCACAGGGTTAGTGTAGGATAAAGGGTTAGTGTTAAATAATGGTGGATACTGAGTAATAGGGAAAGCTTTATGGTGATACGTTATTCAGACGCATCGCACTGCCCTAGATCACCGTTTATTTGTTTATCAGTGAAGCCAAACAGCATGAGATTAAATGTTGCTATCAGCTATGGAAATGATTAAGCTGATGGAGAACAGGAAGTCTAAATCAGTGGCATCCAGATTCAGTCCTAAGGGTTGCTTTCTGCCATGATGGATGAAAAACAGGATTATAAAGAAAAATTAATCATAATAAAAAAGTAGTTAAGTACAGTAATTATGTAAATGTATTTGGTTATTTTCCACTACTGCTAAAAACTGAAGACGTTTTCTCAGAATGGTACCAGAGATGCGGTTTATGACCACCTAGAAGAATCAAAGCCATCAAGATGTTCCTGCAGCTGGTTCTGACCGTGCTCCATGTTGACTTTGCTTTCAGTATATGGCCTCCAGCAGCAGCGAATATGTGGACCTTGCAGAAATGGCCGTGGACCTTCAGAGACAGTTCAGGTAATGATTCTCAGGTAGTCTCATCTGGACCCCGCTGGCCGTCTCTGGTCCATCAATTATCTGTGGATACATCTTTAGCAGCACTCCCTGCCTCCTGAGTGGGTCAGCCGGTCCACTCCCTGCTGCCTCAGTGGGTCAGCCGCTGAACACTTCTGTGGTTCTGCCCTCAGGATGGACTACGGACGGAGAAACAAGACGGCCTTTAGGATCCAGGTGGAGAAAGGTAAGAACCGGACCAACATGGTGGGCCGTGTCCAATGTGAGGCTTATGAGAATCTAGACCCAGGAGGATCAGTTCTGTGACAGGGACTTAACTGCTGCTGTCCATCTGCATGTTGAAGTTTTCAAGGCCGTCAAAGAGGAGGTGGAGCTGAACGACCTGGAAAGCAAACATCTGGCCAAGAGAGCCCGGAGCAGCTGCAATGAGACCCGGTGAGCGGCCCTCCGTGACCCGCTGAAGCTCTAAAACCATTCATAGCAAAGAACACATTCGAAAAACTTCTCAATCCAAAAAGATTTTTCTCAGGTTTTCTTTTTGTTAAAAGCTTCTCAGATTTCTATTTTTCACTTTTTGTTTAAATCTGAGTTTTCTGAATTCCCATCACGGTCGCGGTGGGGCCTAAAGGCACCTAAAGTCCATGCACAAAGGCCCCGGGCCGGGAATTGAACCCAGATCCTTCTTGCTGCAAGGCAACAGTGCTAAGAACTGCTCTATTCTGCAGATATTATGAATTTAATATCTTTGAAATCCCGCTTTTACAGATTCCCCTCTCTGCACTTCTGGCTGGTCTGTGTGCAGACCGATAGAAATGAGTCTTTACTATAGTCATTCTTATTGGTCGATACACAGACCAATCAGAAGAGGAGAGCGGGAAATCTGTAAAAGCAGGATTTGAAAAAAAAAAAACTGAAGGTACTCCAGCTTCCTTCCACAGTCCAAAAACATGACCGTTAGGTTAATTGGCTTCTCTAAATTCTCCTTAGGTGTGAGTGTGTGAATGAATGGTTGTTTGTCCTGTGTGTCTGTGTTTTGCCCTGCGATGGACTGGAGACCTGTCCAGGGTGTACCCTGCCTCTCGCCCATTGACAGCTGGAGATAGGCACCAGCACCCCTTGCCACCCCAGCTGAGGTAAAGCGTGATGGAATATGGATGGATGAAAACAATGCAAGTAATCTTAAACTTTTTTGATTGAGAAGTTGATCAAATGTGCTTTCTTGAAATAGGGGTTTTTGTTTTATCAATATTGGGATAAAGTTCTTTCCATACTGCCGTGGTCCATATTAACAGCATTCTGCAGGACAGGTTTAGCTCTGAGATTAGCTGCTTTCCAGAACTTCATGAAGTCTCCTAGATCAGGGTCTGAAACCTCTGAGCTGCTCTCCTCAGTGCAGGGAAACCAAAGCAGCAGCAAACATTAGCGGACCCGTTGGAACAGACGTTCTGATAGGAGTTTCCAATCAGTGGTCAAACATGCACTGTTAAAAGTAGCCATAAACCACAGGCGTAGGTTTCTGAGGGATTGTTTTGGACATATCCCTAAACAACTTTGGCCTGTTTGAGACATGTCCCCACCAATAAGTTAGCCTTTTTCCCCCTTTCCACTCATTTACTTTAGCCAAAGGTAACAGAGGTTGGGTGCTGCTGTCTTCATTCAGAGCGTTTTGAGTCAGTGTTTTTTTTCCTCTCTTGTGCTGGTCCTGTGTTCTGCCTCTCGGTGTAACATCATCGGATCTGTCACTTTGAGACACCTGATTTGCGGCCGCATATCACTGCGTACAGAGTAGCTACGTGGTTGAAGGAGAGACACACAGCAGCACTCAGTGAATATTAACCAGCAGCTACTTCGATTCTTAGTAAGTAAAAGTTAGGAGACGGGTTGGTTAAAAAAGTTAGAGATCATACCACAGAAAAATCTGTTCGACAGACATACGGAGCTTTTTCAGCCAAAACTGCAACAGATTATAAGTTTATACAAGTTAATATTATAATGCAAGAAGCTTGAGAAAACAGTTAAACTACAGGTTAAAATTAACATGTTTTCTTATTGTGTTGAGAGAAATAGACTGCAGAGCTTCTACACATCTTGAAATGTCATTTCTGGCATCATTATATTAGTAAAGAGGTTCATAAATCTTAAACAGCACAGAGAGAGGTAGGGAGAGCTGCAGATTTAAAAGCGAAACAGATCCACTGGGACATGCAATAAAATAAATCTCCAAGTTTACCAGAAAGTTTTAAAATAAAAATAAAAAGCTATTCTATATTTATAATGCAGCATATCTATATTTTTCTGGATGGCTGGATGGAATTGAAATTGTTCTTCTAGGGATGCATGATATATCGGTTTTAGCATCGGAATCGACTGATATTTGTTTTTTTTTGTTTTTTTATAAAGTAATGTTTTAGGGCCCTATATATGTAATGCACTAAAAGGCATCTCTCTTACTATCTATTAATAGAAATATCAGTGTATAATGGTTCTCTTGTGTTCTCAACAATAGAAAAGCATTCAATAAATATATGTTTGAGCTAATTTTTGGAAACTACAAAAACCTAATGAATGCGTTCGGGTCTAGTAACTGTAGCTCCATCAGCCACTACCCGAGTGTCCCCACAAACGTTCGTCACAAAGTTACACCCTTGCCATAAACTTAACATTTATTATGTGCTAAAATAAGCTGCTGCAGTATTTTCAGACAGAGGGGAGGATTTCCTCATCAGACTCGAACCAGAGCAAAATGCGATCATTCAGTCAGAGCCATCTTCTTGTGCTGAACGGTTGCCGTGGTTTCTAGAGTTTATTATTCAAGATTTTCACCTATTCTAGAGATTTAAATGTTACATTTGGATTTAAGTAGCACCTCCCCTATTTCAGAGCAGCAGCCACCTAACCTAATGACTAGGTAAACCACACCACTTTTCTGGTGATTAAAATGATGATCTTTATAGGGCTCTGGTGAGAATCCCTCCATCGCCATCGGGTTTCTGAAGGATCGCAGCTTTTTGCTTTAACCTACTGAGCTAGCACCCAGCTTTATATGCTGTAGATGGGAACAGACTGGGAGAATCAGCTTCTCTACTAGTTGAGAATGTGTTTCTAGTCAGAGTCCAGAGACTGAGCATAAAGCTACCTTCAGTTTCACAGGGATTCAGGACATTAAAACTACAGCTGTCTTCTCTCATTGGTTATCTTCTCTCCCGCTGGACATTAGCTGCTCCTTCAGAAGCCAGGGTTGAGACATAGCAGCTCTCTGGAGGACAGCATAAATTCTTCAAACCTTCAAACCAAAACCATTTTCTGATCCTGTGTTTTCAGGGACAGCAGCAGCAGCTCGGAGGACTCCTCAGACAGCGATGAACAGGTGCTGGGAAACACGGTAAGAGAAGCCAAGACAGTTCATATTCAGAACCGTTCCTCTGCTTTATTGGCCAATGTCTGTCGACACACAATGGCTGTGGGAATCCATAGGATAGGTCTTCAAAGGACGCTGTCTACCTGGACTGGATCCTTCAAAGTCCTCAGCCATTTCTCAATACACTGTGTGCAGAATTATTAGGCAAATGAGTATTTCAACCACATCATCCTTTTCATACATGTTGTCCTACTGAGAAACAGCAGACTGAGAAACGAGAAGCTTCCAATGCAGCGCTCACAGAGCTCAGAGCAATAAGTTAAAAGTTCTCTTTTCTGTTGGTTAATAAAAGTACGTTTTAAGATCATTTGAGGCAAGAACATCATAGTTTAAGTGTTACTGTATGGCCCATTTACCAGCGAAGCTCCGGGGGAAACGGCAGCCATGGCTAATCCTAGCCCATCTGCAGCAGCTATCGCTCGGCATAGCTGTGTGTGAAGGGCTGCTGGGTATGAAGGGCGATTTTTATGTTTTATTTGGCAAAATGTTCTTTTGATTTGTGTTTATCTGACTGTGTTAATTATTATTCCCCCACTAAATGGAAAAAAGTTAGAATTTATTATTATCTAGAGACTATTAATAACAGGAGGAGAAATGCACGTTCTCTTTTTCTCACCACGGAGGCTCTGGCCTTCACTATTTCTGCACGTTGAATCTTTAATCTACTGATATTGAACGGATCCAGGAAGTCATTAAAACAACTCTGATTTAGGCCCCGCCTTCTAGTCATTGCCGATCATTAATCCATCTTTGGAGGAGGAGAGACGTTGGACCACGTGTGAGAAAGCAGAAACCAGGGATTCTATATTTCATATCCAACCCGATATGAGCGCAGTAGAATTTAAACTGTGGTTAGCATCTTAGCAATTAGCAGCTAGCATCATCTCTATGAGTAATTTTTATAGAATGTCAGTGTTAGGCAGTGTTAAGGTTTGACTTTTTAAATCCCTGTAAGATGAAGCAGAATAGGCCCTCCTGGCATCTTCTGACTCTCTTTGACAGCGTCTTCTTCCCTCAGCAGCACCATCCCCACTGAAGGTTTTTTGTGGTGCAACCTGCTTACTTTCAGTTTAATTATGTCCTGTGGCTCTTTGTGAGACAAACAGATCTGGTTCCTATCCTGAAATATATAAGGGGATCAGTCCATAACCAAACGCAGACTGAATCAGAATCAACCATCCTTTTTTAATTTTTTTCTGGAGAAATCTTGTCCTATTTTAGTGAAGATTTAATGTTTTGTGTTTCTTTCCACAGCCCAACAGTTCAGTTACAGCCCTGTACCGTAAGGGCCCTACTGCAGCAGGCAGAGCCAACCCAGCTCAAAATGAAGGCACCGTAGTTTCCCCTGGAGGCTGGTTCATTGACAAAGGCAGAGGCCCCACGACACGACCCGTCTTCATCGACTTTTCGAAAGACGAGTCAGTGGACACACAAGCAAATGTACGTAGTAACTGAGGGCAGCATGTAGCCTGGTTGTACCCTGATGGTAATCTGATGGTAACCCTGTGGTAACCTGATGGTAACCCTGTGGTAACCCGGTGGTAACCTGATGATAATGGTGGTAACCTGATGGTAACCTGGTGGTAACCTGATGGTAACCCTGTGGTAACCCGGTGGTAACCTGATGGTAATGGTGGTAACCTGATGGTAACCTGATGGTAACTCGGTGGTAACCTGATGGTAACCGGGTGGTCACCCTGTGGTAACCTGGTGGAGACCCGGTGGTAACCTGAAGGTAACCCGGTGGTAACCTGGTGGTCATCGGGTGGTAACCATGTGGTAACCCAGTGATAACCTGATGGAAACCCAGTGATAATCTGATGGAAACCCGGTGGTTACTTGATGGAAACCCATTGGTAACCTGATGGTAACCATGTGATAACCTGATGATAACCCAGTGGTAACCCGATGTTCCTGATGGTAACCCGGTGGTAACCTGATGGTAACCATGTGATAACCTGATGGTAACCATGTGATAACCTGATGGAAACCCAGTGAAAATCTGATGGAAACCCATTGGTAACCTGATGGTAACCATGTGATAACCTGATGGTAACCATGTGATAACCTGATGATAACCCAGTGGTAACCCGATGGTAACCCGGTGGTAACCTGATGGTAACCCAGTGGTAACCCGATGGTAACCTGATGGTAAGTAGGTGGTCACCCTGTGGTAACCTGGTGGAGACCCGGTGGTAACCTGAAGGTAACCCGGTGGTAACCTGGTGGTCATCGGGTGGTAACCATGTGGTAACCCAGTGATAACCTGATGGAAACCCAGTGATAATCTGATGGAAACCCGGTGGTTACTTGATGGAAACCCATTGGTAACCTGATGGTAACCATGTGATAACCTGATGATAACCCAGTGGTAACCCGATGTTCCTGATGGTAACCCGGTGGTAACCTGATGGTAACCATGTGATAACCTGATGGTAACCATGTGATAACCTGATGGAAACCCAGTGAAAATCTGATGGAAACCCATTGGTAACCTGATGGTAACCATGTGATAACCTGATGGTAACCATGTGATAACCTGATGATAACCCAGTGGTAACCCGATGGTAACCCGGTGGTAACCTGATGGTAACCCAGTGGTAACCCGATGGTAACCTGATGGTAAGTAGGTGGTAATGCTAACTTGATGGTATTTTCATTTCCATTCAGTTTATTTCTTTAGCTCCAGTCTTCTGAGATCACTTTCTAGATCCAGTTCAATCAGATCTTCCAGAACGATTAAAGGTTCAGTTTCTATCATCATTAATAATAGATCCTCCATCAGTGTTGATTTGGCCTTTGGCAGCGGCAGCTGCTGGTATGGAGGAACCTGTTTGGAACACCTTGGGGATCAGAGAGCAGCAGTTAAACTCCTTCACCTTCTGCTGTCTCAATTTCTACACAGAGAGGTGCATCCCAACTGGAGCCTGAGACCAAGAGGTCAAAGAAGAGGTCAAAGAACTCGGCCCATTCTGCAGACTCCCAGGGAGTGATCAAGAATAAGAAAGGTGAGCATACCCCACTGAGCAGTTTGGACCCGATCCACAGGCAGCATGAACCTGTGTAGGAGGGGGCCAGTTGGCATATTCTGGTTTTATTAATATGTTTTGTGCAAAGTCTATAGGTCTATATTTTGTGTTTTTATGCTGACCCTGTAACACAGTCAGAACCTTTTTTACAAGACTTTTTCAAACTAGTCACAGAGTATGGGAGCAATATTGTTGCAGAATTATTTGCAGATGCGTCAGTTGTATTGTCTGTATCTAGATTTGACTAGTCATACTTAACGTTGAGATATCTTAATTATAATTCCAGATGTGTGAAACTTTCAATGATGAATCAGGCGATGCCATTTAAGATATTTCTAAAGGCATTTTGACTCTCCAAAATGTGATTGATTGATATCTTGAATTTTTATTTTCACTGGTCATAATATAATATCAGATATCTTAAAGTATCATTTACGATGTTCAAAATAATTTTTTTCCAAGTCAAAACTTTTTCTTTGATATCTTAGAAGTAATTACGGATGGTCAGAAAAGCTGATTTTAAACTGCCACAATAAGCCTGCGAGGCTGCGCTCAGGGTAGCAAGTCAGGATATTACACATACAAATCCTCTCTACACATTTGCAGATCTCACACGGCAGAAGTGTAGCAAAAATCACATGTGTAAAGAGAGGCAACAGAGAAACTTCTAAGCAGGCTCGGACTGTTTATCACTAAATACAGATTTGTGGATTATTTTTACACATTTGCAAATAAATTACACACAAGTTATTTTACATATTTGCAGATACTCGTACAGAGAGACAAATCTCCTCACACATTTTCAAACCCCACTGCACACACACATCTAGATACAGACACACAACTTTCCACACACATTTGCAAATAATTTCGCAACAGCATTGCTGCCATAACAAACAACACCAGGTGGCAGCACTGAGGACCACCAAGCTGAGGGTTCCTTGGAGGGCCCAGTTAGAGGTCCTTGTTTCCATGGATACTGTAGCTGAAAGCTTCACGGTCATCTCCTAGATGGTGTTCAGCGTGTTCTCTCGCCTCCTAACTTCTAAAGCACCCCCATTCCCCACCAGGCTGATAGTTCAGAGCATGTTTGGTCAAAACATCAGACTTGTTATGTTGCATCTAAAGATTATATTTCTTTTTTTTTAAGCAAAGTCCAAGTCCCCAGAGCTGCAGTATCCCCACCTGAGGTTTGAGGATGTTGGGGGTAATGAGGAGATCCTAACGGTCAGTGCCTTCACCTTCTGCTGACCTTCTGCAGGGCATGGTCTTTAATTCTGTGTCTGATGTTTTACTGCAGGAGGTGTGCAAGCTGCTGGTTCATATGCGCCACCCAGAGGTCTACCAGCACCTCGGGATGGTTCCTCCCAGGGGCTTCCTGCTGCACGGACCTCCTGGCTGTGGGAAGACCCTGCTGGCCCAGGCTGTGGCTGGGGTGAGCCGGGCTGCAGAAAAGCGATGTGTCCGTCTGGTAGCTGGGTTCATTTAGCAGAGAATGAGAGGCTGTGGATGTGTGTTTCAGGAGCTGCAGATCCCCATGCTGAAGGTGTCTGCTCCAGAGCTGGTATCTGGGGTGTCAGGAGAGTCGGAACAGAAGCTCAGAGAGCTGTTTGAGCTGGCTATGGTAGCGCTGCTTCTTCTTCTGTTCATGATCTGAAATGGTGAGAGTCAAACTGGTGACCTCTGACCCTTCCTCTGCAGACCTCCAGTCCATGCATTGTGTTCATCGATGAGATAGATGCCATCACGCCTAAGAGAGAGGTGGCCTCCAAAGACATGGAGAGGAGGATCGTGGCCCAGCTGCTGACCTGCATGGACGGTAGGAGAAGGCGTCTTTAGAATGCGCTTCTAGAGAGGAGCCTCATGCAGTGATAAGCAGCCATTTTCTGAAAAAAAAAACAGTTTTCTCTTATATCAAGAAGATGTTTCCAGAACATAAAGGGATAAAAAATGTTTCCATAATGCTGAATATATTAAAAAAAGGATTATTATAACAATTTATTGTTCTAGCTATATTAAATCCTGACTGAATAACCAAAAAGATTTTCTTACACATTATTAAACGTATTTATAAGATAAAACAAAACAGGAACCTTTTAGGTTACGGAATAAAAAAGAAGAATAAAATATGTAAAACATTTATAATTTCCAATGAACAGAGATGTAGAACAATCATTAATAGACTGGGTATGTCGCTCTGATATACTGTCAGACTACTTTTCACTTTCATTAATGAAGTGGACACTAACAGATTTAGCTCTTTGTTTAATCTTAGGCTGCAACTAACGGATTATTTTGCAAATTTATTAATCCGTTGATTATTTTTCTGATTAATAATCAGATAGGCAAAGGTTGCAAGGCAGCAGTGGGTAGCACTGCTGCCTTGCAGCTATAAGGTTTTGGGTTTGATTCCGGGCCCAACATCTTTATGCAAGGAGTTTGCATGTTCTCCCTGAGCATGCGTGGGTTCTCTCTGGGTACTCCAGCTTCCTCCCACAGTCAAAAACATGACTGTTAGGGCTTCTCTAAATTCTCCTTAGGTGTGAGTGGGTGCGTGAATGGTTGTTTGTCTCTGTGTTGCCCTGTGATGGACTGGCAACCTGTCCAGGGTCGACCCCGCCTCTCGCCTGTAGACAGCTGTAGATGGGCACCAGCACAGAAAGAAATTCCCTTTTGATGGACATTAACAGTTATCCAGATGGAACTGATATATGTTTTATTCTAAAGTGCGCATGCGCTGAGTGGACGCTGGCGCGTTTTTGCAGCCGCTGCTCTCCGCTACCTGTTTTTAAGTATTTTTCAACGTTTTTACGACACTTTGGGCCGTGTACTCACATTCAAGTGAGAGCAAAGACACTTGCCTTCGCTTTGATCATCCTAACTCCCGCTGCCATCCCGTTGTTTTTGTGTCTGAGTGTGTTTAACTAACCTCACTCTCCAACTGTTCTCCTGACTCGACGCCGTTGCTGCTGTTGGTTAGCCACCCGCTGCCGTTAACAATGTCAACCTCCAAGTTCTACATCTGGTGTATCCTCCTCTGGACTGTCCTCTCCATTCTACACCGACCTGGGGCTGGTCTGTTCCAGTATTCGGCTGCTGATCTCCTCCTGCTCCGTGGGCTTCTGTCTGCGCCTCCACCGCCAGTTCTCCAGCTACACCCGGAGATCATGCTCCTTCCCCGCCGGAGATACATCCACCGCGGATCCCGTCGGAATTTCCACATCGATGACTCCAATCCAATACCATCATTCTGGTCCACTTCACGCCGCTCTCGCCGATATCCCGGTCGGACCGCTGACTTCAGTTCGCTTGCTAGCCTGGCTAAGGCAGCAAGCCCCGCCTCCGGTCATATCAACTCTCCTGTCAACTTTGGACTCCTGAATATCCGCTCTCTCACAAACAAGGGTCAGCTCATCCAGGATCTCATCAATGACCGTAAGCTGGACTTCCTCTGCCTCACGGAGACGTGGCAACAACCTAAAGACTTCTCCCAGCTCAACGCCTCCTCTCCACCTGGGTTTGTTTACCACTCTCTTCCTCGTGTTTCCGGTCGCGGGGGAGGTCTCGCGTTACTTCATCGCGAGAAGTGGAAGTTGTTGCCTGTTTCTATTCCTGTTTTCCGCTCTATGGAATGCTTTGCATTTGAACTGCCTGGCCCTACTCCAATATTTATTTCCATAGTCTACCGTCCCCCCAAACCACATAGTGACTTTTTAAACGAATTATCCATACTACTTACCCACCTGACTACTCTCTCTCCTAATGTCATTCTCCTCGGTGATTTCAATATCCATATGGACAATGTAAACCTTTCACTCACCAGAGACTTTTCCTCCTGCCTGGACAGTTCTGGATTCCATCAGTATGTTGATTTTCCCACCCATATAAAAGGACATTCACTGGACTTGATTTGCTGCTCTGGTTTAATCCCATCTAACTGTTCTGCTGATGATGTCCATATTTCAGATCACTTTCTTTTATCCTTCAACGTTTCCCTGTCTCTCTCCATAATCAAGCCTGTCCGCCAGATTTCCTTCCGCAATATTAAGAACATAAACACAGACATTTTATCCTCCCACATTGACAATATCCCAATCCCTGCTCTTTCCTCTCCGGACCACCTTGTCACCCACTACAACTCTGGGCTTTCCAATATTCTCAATTCCCTTGCCCCTCTCAAAACCCGGTCTGTATCCTTTTCCCGCTCTGCCCCTTGGTTTACTCCTGAGCTCCGCCTCATGAAAGCCAAAGGTCGGCAACTGGAACGCCTCCACAAAAAAACTGGTCTCTCCATACACAAAGAAATGCATAAAACTCATCTACTTCAATATTCAAATTCAATAGCCATTACTAAATCAAATTACTATTCTGACCTTATCTGTTCCAATGATGGAAATTCCAAGTCTCTCTTTTCCATAATGCATAGGATCTTTGACCCCCCTGACACCCTGCCTTCTTACATGTATTCTACTCAGACCTGTAATTCTTTGTCAACCTTCTTTAATGAAAAAATCTGCTCCATTCACCAGCAATTACATATGACCGCCTTGCCTCCCACTTCCCCTCCGCCCCTCCCCCGTAGCCAGTCATTTTCCTCCTTCCTACTGCCCACTTCTTCTGAAATTTCTGACCTCATTCAAAAATCCAAGTCCTCTACCTGTTCTCTTGACCCCCTCCCCACGGCTCTGGTCAAAATCTGTCTTACCTCCCTCCTCCCCTTCATTACTTCCATTATTCATTCTTCACTCTCTTCTGGTATTGTTCCTTCACTTTTCAAAACTGCATCTGTCTCCCCGATTCTGAAAAAACCTGGTTCTGATCCCACTAACTTTAATAATCTTCGTCCCATTTCTAATCTTCCCTTTATCTCTAAAATACTTGAAAAAACTGTGTCTGCTCAACTCCACACCTTTCTTACCCTCAACAGTCTTTACGAACCTTTCCAGTCTGGTTTTCGCCCCTCTCATAGCACTGAAACTGCCCTAATAAAAATCACAAACGATCTCCTTATAGCTGCTGACTCTGGACTCCTCTCCATCCTCATCCTTCTCGATCTCAGTGCAGCCTTTGATACCATTTCTCATCCCATTCTCCTCAATAGATTATCCTCTCTTGGCATCTCTCACATCCCTCTTGAATGGTTCCGCTCATACAGTATCTCTCCGACCGCACTCAGTTTATTCAGCTCAAATCTTTCACTTCGCACCCTTCCCCTGTCACTTCTGGTGTTCCTCAAGGCTCAGTTCTTGGCCCCCTCCTCTTCATCACCTACCTTCTTCCCCTTGGCAGTATTTTCCGGAAATTCAACATTCACTTTCACTGTTATGCGGATGACACCTAGCTTTATTTATCCAGTAAACCCACTTCCTCTCTCCCCCCCTTGTCCCTTACTAACTGCCTACTTGAAATTAAAGACTGGTTCACCTCAAACTTCCTTAAACTAAACAGTGATAAAACAGAACTCCTCCTCGTTGCCACTAAATCCATCCTATCAAAAATCAAAAGTTTCTCACTACCCATTGACAACTCCTTAGTCTCCCCCTCCCCTCAGGTCAAGAGTCTGGGTGTCATCCTCGACTCTTCCCTCTCCTTTCAGTCTCACATAAATAAAATTACCAGGTCTGCATACTTCCACCTTCGCAACATTAACCGTCTCCGTTCCTCCCTCACCACTCATACTGCCTCTGTCCTTATCCACAGCCTCATCACCTCCCGTATTGATTATTGCAATTCTCTTCTTTTTGGCCTCCCTCATAAATCTCTCCATAAACTTCAACTTCTTCAGAACTCAGCAGCTCGTGTCATCACCAGAACCCCCTCCTTCCATCATATTTCCCCTGTTCTTCACCAACTCCATTGGCTCCCAGTTCAATTCAGAATTCAATTCAAAATCCTTCTCTATACTTTCAAAGCCATCCATAACCTTGCTCCTTCATATCTGTCAGACCTCCTTCACATTGCCACCTCCTCCCGCTCCCTTAGATCCTCCTCCTCCATCCACCTCACTGTACCTCCAGCTCGACTTGTCAACATGGGGAGCAGAGCCTTCAGCCGCTCTGCTCCACAGCTCTGGAACTCACTTCCTCCCGACCTCCGCAGTATTGACACTCTCCCCTTATTCAAAGCCAGACTCAAAACCCATCTGTTCCAGCTCGCTTATCTGTGAATACACTGCTCTTTTCCCTATCCATAATTGTTTTTTTGTTCTCTGTTGTTTTATGTTCCTGTATCTGTATTTTGTATTTTCATCTCTTTTTATTTATTTTTTGTATTATTTGTAAAGTGACCTTGAGTGTCTAGAAAGGCGCTGTTAAATAAAATGTATTATTATTATTATTATTTAATCTTACAGCTAATTGACATTAATTTTAAGTCAATTGTTTGTGTTCTAGTTCTAAGAGTTTGATGAATATCACCGTAGCAACTCAGTGACGTCTCTTCATCTGGGTTGCTTTAGATTTGAACAGTCTCACGGTGACAGCTCAGGTACTGGTGATCGGCGCCACCAACAGGCCGGACTCCCTGGATCCGGCCCTCCGCAGAGCCGGCCGGTTTGACAGAGAAATCTGTCTGGGGATCCCTGATGAGGGCGCTCGGCTCAGGTAAGAATCTGAAAGACAGAGCGACTGGCCAACCTGCTGCTTTGGTTCAGTTTTATTCAGCTTATTGGTTAGTGAATCTGGTTGCCGGTTGGTTTAACCGTGTGGATGATTAAAGCGTCCGGGTTTCCTCTGCCAGGATCTTGAGGACCTTATGTCGGAAGCTGACACTGCCCGCGGATTGCAACTACCAGCAGCTGGCCCGGCTCACTCCAGGCTACGTGGGAGCTGACCTCATGGCTCTGTGCCGGGAAGCTGCTATGGCTGCCGTGAACCGGGTTCTGCTGGAAACCAGGCCATTGGCCCAGACTCCGCCGGACTGCCCTGAACAACCGTCAGGAAGTCCGGAGCAGATGGAGGCTGGGACGGATGTGGTTGTTAGAACTGAGCAGGTCCGTTTGGCTCCGTTCAGCCCGCATGTTTTAGGTCAGAATCTGGTTGCTCTGAGGGATGATGTTCTTTCTTTTAGGAGGGAGAACTTCAGCAGCTCCTTGGCATATTGAAGAACACGGACACGCTGTCAGAGCAGGAGCTGGCTGGACTCTGCATCCTCATGTCCGACTTTCAGGACGCTCTGGGCCGGGTTCAGCCTTCAGCCAAGAGGGAGGGCTTCGCCACAGTACCAGACGTGACCTGGGAGAACGTAGGAGCTCTGCAGGACATCAGGGAGGAGCTCACCATGGCAATACTGGTAAACGCCACCTTTCCCAGATTCCATCTGCTCCACCTGTTCTCTCTGGTTCTGACCCATCTTCTGTCCCCATGGCGGCTGTGTGTCCTGCAGGCTCCTGTCCGATCTCCGGAGCAGTTCAGAGCCCTGGGGCTCAGCGCACCATCTGGGGTTCTGCTGGCCGGGCCTCCAGGCTGTGGGAAGACCCTGCTGGCTAAGGTGAGCATGAGATGGAGCTCAGCAACATGCAGGGACTTCCTTAGTCACACCCCATTAGACTCGTCTCTGGTACCAGAGTATACGCATCGGTTGAAATAGAAAATAAGAATCATTTCCTTTCCCATTGAGTTCCGTCCCAGTGTTCAAAGGGATGGATGTCTGTGTCTACAGCAGGCGTAGAGCTAACAGAACTGGCAGCGTTGCGAGGCAAGGGCTCAAACATGTACGGCTGGAAGCCTTCTACACCAAACCAAGCTTCTGCCGCCCTGGCGTCCTCTTCTACAAATCTTCGTCCCCGCTTTCCTCCTCTAAATAAAAAATGTATGACGGAAGAGACTCATCCACGACCTCCGACACTAAACTCTCCTCCTCTTGCATGTTTCCTCTGTCCATAGCGTTCCTTGACAATGTCGATTCTAAGTCACCAATTTAGTGCTTCTTGGTCCCAATGGAATTTCCCATTGGGAACCTACTAGCACTAAGTTGCTAACTGGTTAGCAAGATGCTTCTAACAAACCGGCCACAAGCAAAAGGCTTGCAAACCTTACGCCACAACAATCCCGCCCTCTTGATAAACGACCATTCACATTCACTTTATTCACTCGTGTAAGTCGTGCACCTATCGGGAGAATTCGAAAATGCAACGGTTGGAACAGCCGTTTCCCTACGACTTTAAGGTCTCACTTTGTTCTCCTCTTCTCTCTCCTGCAGGCGGTGGCAAATGAGTCAGGCCTCAACTTCATCTCCGTCAAAGGTCCAGAGCTGCTAAACATGGTCAGTGAGTGAAGAGCCTTAGAGTTCCTGCCCCGTTCTTGCTCTCCGTTTTTCCCAGAACTAATGCTTCACACCGCACACGATTGAGCAGTAGAAGCAGCTGCTTTACAAAGTCAATGGCTGACACGCATCAATGAGCATCAAAAGGTTCAGCAGTGTCTAGAGCAGCTGAATCATGATGGCAGACCAGCTCCTCTATTTTAGTAGAATAGAGATTTGTAGGATTGCTCTGAGCAGAGGTTTTTAAAAATGATAAAATAATCTGTTTTCTAAATAGCATTATATGTCTCTGTCAGCAACCATGTCTCTGACGTGGTTGCTAACAGCTGGATCTTTGCTGTGTGCAGTATGTGGGGGAGAGCGAGCGAGCGGTCCGCCAGGTCTTCCAGAGAGGACGCAACTCTGCTCCTTGTGTCATCTTCTTCGATGAGATTGACGCCCTGTGTCCTCGCCGTTCAGGCCACGAGGTGAGGAACACGGGTCGGTTCTGCTGCCTCCGCCCTCTTATCAGGCAGCAGGGCGGTAGGTGCTTTATCTGGTTTCTGTCAAATCTCTAAAAACACTGAACTGTTTGAAATGTTTGTGGCTGAACGAGATAACCTCTGTCCTGACTGTCAGGTTAGACGCATTATCATCCCCACAACTTGACCAGCCGGTATCTGAGCGTACATCTCTAACTTGTTTCTGCTTGTCTTCAGTCAGGAGCCAGTGTGCGGGTCGTCAATCAGCTGCTGACAGAGATGGACGGGTTGGAGACGCGAAAACAGGTCTTCATCATGGCTGCAACCAACAGGCCGGGTACACCATCCGTTTTTGTCAATATTTCACGTGCACCTCACTGCTGCAGAACCAGCTCGCTATCTCCAGTCCTAACTCAACTTTATTTATAAAGCATTTTAAAACAACCACAGCTGCCAGAAAGAGCTGTGCATATCAGGTAAAGTTAAAATTGGATAAAAACAAGATAGAGGTTTAAAGGAATAAAACAAATATAATAAAACAAAATCAAATAAAACCATTTAAAAAAAGAACAATAAAACATCAACAATCTAATGCTGTGTTAAAAGCCAAAGAATAAAATTAGGTTTTAAGACGAGTTTTAAAAATAGAAGGTGAAGAAGATTGTCTAATGCGGACAAGGAGCTCATGCCACCATGTTGGAGCAGCAACTGAAAAAGCTGCTCCAAAATTGCCTGAATGGCATAACACGATCTCATGTTAAACCATGCAGGCGTTCAGTCTGCACTGAGGAAGGTTAACTTGTTCTTTGACCACTCTTTTCGACTGCATCTAAAATATTAACATGTCATCTCCAGATAAACAAGGATAATAGAACTTGGGAAGCTGCTGTAGAACCCTATAGTAGAACCCTTGGACTCCCTACAACCTTCATACCCCGACACACACACTGCGTATCACATTACTCCACATACTTTCTCAGTTCTTTCCCTAGCAGACATTTACTAAAGTTTAAATCGAATATTCAGAACCAGATTGGTTGCGTGTAGAACTCTGGTTTAGAGTTTGAGGTTGATCTAAGCTTAGCTTCATTAATCTGATTGGAGAAAGGAAGGACGATGAATAGAACCTTTAAGCTGATTGGCAAAATTACACCGCTCTTTGTAATATTTAAGAGTCAAATCCTGATTAAGAAACCCATTTCAGGTTTAAGTGGGAGGGGAACTAGATGGGTTTCCATGTGTTTGGGAATGCACAAATCCTGTTTGCAGACAGGGTTTTTATGAGCTCACGAAAACGTGCCATTGCAGTGTTTCCATCAAAATAGAAAGCCAAAACAACATGGCATGCCACCATCCTCCTGCTACTTCCTGCAGCCTTCTCCGTGTGTTTAGCCACTAGTATCATCTGGTTGTTGATCGTCGGACTCTTGTGATGTGAAAACGTTTCCTTTGCAGATTTTCCAAATAACGCACTTTTGATTTGACCAAAAAAGGGATGCATCTCAGTTTAGGAAATTAATGTATTTTATTTGTGCAATTTGGTTGTCAATGGAAACACAACTACTGGTGTTCCAAAAAAACATGCTTAATTTAATTTCTTCACATGCAGAGAGTTTAGATGCACCAATAGACAGGTAGGCGGCAGTGGGACTGGGAGCATCAGTCTAGAGAGGTTCTCCCACCGGTTGCTACTCTGGAAGCTTAATTTCCCTCTGTTTGTTTGACCCAAACCATCCCTGATGTTTGTTAGTGAAAGCTCTGTTTTCCCACCTTGAAGCTTTCTCTCTCTGGTTATTTTCCTGAAAAGAGATCACTCAGGACAAACTCTATAAATAACACCTCATAATGTTTATGTATTAAATAACCAGGAGATAGGACAACAGATTCTGACAGAAATTATAATCTTACTCAGATCAGAGAAGTTGCTTAGAGTTACAGAAACCAGCACTTACTGACCGGGGTTAACATCTCATGAAGTGGCCCTGAATCATATTTTATACAACTCCTCTGCCACATCATTGCATCGTCACATTTTAGCAGATGGTTAGTCATCCAAGGCTCCAGCCTTATCAAAATATTACACTTTGTTCTTAGCTGAAGGAAGCCGCTCTCATTCCATTTTCAAACATTTGCCATGTTCATAATGAAGATGATAACTGTATATCCTGACAGAGGAACTGTCCTAATTAGATAAACTTCTTGGGAAAACATTAGTTTTGACTCACATCAGGCAGGTAATATTGGGCAATAAACTCACACATCACCAATGATTATAATCCTAACATGTTGTACAATCTTATCAACTCACATGTTATCGTCTGATCCCCCGGCTTATCATGATGTCGTGACTCTTCACTTATCTAAGTTTGTTTATTTTTTTCCCAGACATTATTGATCCTGCCGTCCTGAGGCCTGGGCGCCTGGATAAAACCCTATATGTCGGGCTGCCGTGTGCCGCAGACCGCCATGCCATCCTGATGACTGTTACTAAGGTAACTAGATCTGCCGTATTTTCTGGAGCCACTCTATTTAAAGCTTTAATGATAAACAATAAATCGTTATATGGATCCTAACATGAACAGGAAGCAAGTCCAAAATTGAAGGCGATAAATTAGTTTTAATTTACGATGTATGGCAGTAGCCTGGGGAGGGTGAAATAAAAGCATCATCCAAATTCTTAAAAGATAAAAGCAGTTTTACTTTGGATAAAAGAGAGTTAATTAAAGTTGTTTTTACCAAGCCTGGCCAGCCAGACTAATTTACACGGTGTTGACGGCATATCAGCCTGGAGAGGAGAAGGAGAGCCCCATTTGAAATGCAGGACTAACAGAGTCAAAAAGGTTAGAATCAGAGGTGTCAAGTAAGACATACTTTTTCACTTTTACTTGAGTAAAGAAGTCAAGTTGATGCTTCAACTTTTTACCAGAGTGTTTTTAGACTACAGTATGTGTGTACTTTTGACACATCTGGTTTGAAGCAATAAGATGAATAGGGATGAGATCAAAAACTGCCCATTGTTGAAATTTTAGCAGATTTCAACTTTTCGGGAGTAATAAAGGGCATCCATAAAATATAGCTCTGTTGGAGCTGCAATCACTGCTATGGTTACAGAAAAACACAGCTGGATCATGGCCCCGCCTCTCGCTCCATGATTGGTTGAGTATTGAGCCCAGCCAGAGTAGGCTTTACCAACAGCATTGATGTGTTTGTGGAGTATAATATCTGCATGGATACTGACACCGAGGAGCTGCCATTCTTCAGCAAACAGTGGGTCCAAGTGGTTCAGCAGGTCCATGAGTCCAAATACTAGAATATACCATTTAAGATTTAGGAATTTCTGAGCTGTCTGAGCCTTGATGTCACCAAGATATTAAATGGCCTGTACTTATGTTGTACCTTTTTTTCAAGTCAGCAGACTTAACCAAAGCGCTTTACACTACATTCACTCACACACTGATGGTGGCAAGCTGCATTGTAGCCACAGCTGCCCTGGGGCTCACTGAGGCTCACTGACAGAAGCGGAGCTGCCATACTCTGGCGCCACCGGGCCCTCTGACCACCATCAGTAGACAATGCAGGTGAAGTGTCTTGCCCAAGGACACAACGACACTGAAAGTCGGAGCCAGGGCTTGAACCGTCAACCCTTCGATTTCAGGGCAAACTCCTACATCCGACGCGACTGTCGCCCCGATATGAGGTCTCAGGGAGCTGTTACAGTCTTTCCTATCAGCTTATACATGTGGCTAGAATAGAATAGAATAGACTATTATCCCTTAAGGGAAATTTATTATGGACTCCAAAGTGTGTAGTGCATAGTAGTACCTGCCATTATAAACATTAAAGACTCATATAAAACAAAGACCAGCTAAGGACTCACACACAGCCTGCATACACACTCAATAATAAAAATATTTTTAAAAATCAGTAAATAATTCTCCTTTTATGCAGATGACTAAGGGATTGGAGATGGGTATAAGAAAGGATAACTGCCAAGTGCCAACAAAGACATAGGTTTAGGTGTCTGGGTTGTGAGTGTGAGTCAGTGTAAATAAATGTAAGATTTGTATTCGTTGCTTGTCGTCACTCGCACATTCATCTGACACCACATGTTCCAAGTTACTAAATTACAATTTTGCATCAATAGAGCATTAATCTAAAACTCATAACTTTGGGATTTGTAAAGTTGTACCGTGTATTCCTGACTTCTAACCTTGTTTTCCTACAGATGAAACATCCGTCTCATGGATTTAAAAGTTGAAAACAGGGAACAAGTCTGACATTTACTGACAATGACATTGAAGCATACATTTTTATTGATGCCACACTGCTGAGAATATAAATGCAAACAGCACAGGTGAAAGAACAGAGCCCTGAGGGACTCCATGGGAAAGATAGAGCTACCCAGATCCTGGAACCAGAAACTGGTGCTACAGTAGCATCGCCTTTCTGTCGGGCCAAACGAGAGCATATCGAGCGCAAGTACATGAGGCGGTGGATTTAACTACAGCGTGAGGAGCGCTACTCTACAAGTGTTTGCAATAACTTTGCTGAATAGTTGCAAATGTCACAACTTTAACCTGGTAAAATCATAAATGCTTGTACGGCAAAAAGAAGCATCCTTGCTACTAGAACTTTGTCCATCTTGGCTGCTTTGCTTGTTTCATGGTCGTCGTCTTCCTCTGCTTTTATTTTCGGTGGACTTTCGTCTCCGTTTGAATAAATCTGACGCACTGACAGAGCTGGGAACTGGCTCCTTGTTCGTTGAAAGCAGCATTTTAAGTTCCAGCTCCTGTGTGGCTGAAAAGGACTAATACCCCTTTCTCACCGGCTGAAAAACCTGTTTAAACTTTGGAACAATGGGCTTTTAGTGGCAGTGGGAACAGCTCACTGATGCGTCTCTACCCGGATCAAACGACTCAGCAAACGACCCGCGATAAAATCTCCTCGGCTCTGATCGCCATGATGTGGGAACACCAGAGCCGGGTTGACCCACTAAATTCCATGATACCATTGAACGCAAGGTACGGACGTCAACACACTCGCTTCTGATCTAACAAGCAGAAACAACTCTGTTATAATTGGATTAACATGGACCAGCGGGATTATTATTTCTGTTATCTGTCAGAGGGATTCAGTCAGATAATAGAGAAACAATAAAGCACACTGATTACGTCCTGGCTTCCTTCCATACTGCTCTCCATTGTTTACTTCCCTGATTTCTGTTGCACTGCTGACATCATCAACGCTAACCTAGCGTGATGATTTCACCAGACACGCAGCAGGGGAAAGGAGGCCATGCAGCTGCCATCGAGGTGTTAGACCAGCTTATTAGCCAGTTGGAAGGAAGCTGATTGTCGGCGGGTCGACCATGTTTGAAAAACATGTGTTAACCCCGATAATTTCAGTGTGAAAGAGGCTTAAAGAGGTTCTGGTCGTTATGAGAGGAAAACAGGAAGGTAAACCAGTTGAGTGTGACAGAACTTTGAGCTCATGACTCAAACCCAGGTGGTGCTGAAAGCCGTTTGAGGTCCAACCTGGGAGGATTTACCAGAGACACTGGGTTTCAGTAAAGTAGCTTAAACTCTCAACTAGATAAGATCCTTGGATGGTTCCTAACATCCAGGTCTAGGTCAGATTCTCCAGGCAGACTTTGGTTCCCTAGGGGTTTTATTTTTTGCACCCACTGCGTCTCAGTCTAATGCTCCACCTGTGTGTTACAGGGTGGGACCAGACCTCAGCTGGAGCAGGACGTCCGCCTTGAGGACATCGCCTTTGATGAACGCTGTAGTTCCTTTTCGTAAGTCCCTGCTGAAAACACCAACAACTTCTAACCAGTCTTTCATTTTAGAAGCGGATCAGAACACTATGTTTACTGCAAATTCAGGCTTTGGTTGAGTGAGCCCATCTCCCATGTTTTCAATGTATGATGCTAGCTTAGTTGTTGGCCTTCATTAGAAGCATATAGGTGAGTTAAGGCCAGAACGCACCCAATCAGATTTTGCATCCGATCTGACAGAAAATTGTGTTGGACAATTTTATGCAAGGTGGCAGCGTAGCTCTGAACCCAGGTCTATTTTAAATTCAGCAGCAATTTCATTGGTCTGACAGGAAGAGAGATGCGTTACAAAGTAAAACACATCCGCTTTGGGGGAAAAAACTAAATCTGTTAATCTCACAGGGAAAGAGTCAGTTTGGAGTCGCACATTGCATTTATAGAAACGTATAAGAAAAACTAGTATAAACTTTGCAGATCTCTCTCTGAGAATTACCTCTCTGCCTCAGTCAGCATAGAAACCGCCCCACAGCGTTTACTGCTGTGTTTTTCGTTTCTTTAGGCGTAGATCTCATTATGTTTTTATTATATAAACACTCTCTATCTGTTCTGGTTCTAGATGCTGCACAGACTCGTTAAGTAGAGCATTGCTTTATAGAATGCACATAAATGATTTTATTAGATGTTGTAAAGTTAACGATTGGGATTAAACTCGTACGTTTTTCCTACAGTATAATAATAAAGTATTACAGCTTTGTCCTGCAGTGTGTTGAACATTAAGATATTTTAGTTTGAAAACCAAAGATTGTGTCCTGCAGTTTTTATTTTCTGTAAGAGTTTCAAATTCTCATTGGCAATATCCCTCCCTCCTTGTTTCTCCTTCCAGAGGAGCTGACCTGACGGCGTTGGTGAGGGAAGCGTCTGTAAACGCCTTGAAGGTCTTCATGAAGTCCCAGCTTTCTGGTAACTTGCTCCTCCTCTGATCAGTAACCTTCCTGATCATTTTATTCCTGTCGTCTTAGAGCATGTTAGAGGCGAACCTTTTTAGAAGGAACTGTTTTATTGTTTTTTAATGTGACTTCCTCATGCGGTCGGCTGCTGACAGATGCTCTGATATCATCAGATGGTTGAAGTTTTTTTCCCCCATCCTACATACAGGATGTTTAAACAGGAAACTGTTTCGTTTCTGAACTTTATGTGTTTAAACCATAATCAAAGCTGCTTGTTGTTGGGATAAGGACTTTACCTTTGCTGCTGTTTCCCTCTGCCTGCAGGTCAGACCCACCCCTCTGGCTCCACAGCCGATATCAAGGTCACCAAACAGAACTTTGAGGACGCCTTCAAGACCATTCAGCCATCCGTGTCCAAAAAGGTGAAAGTGTTTTATCAAATCCTTTGGAGATAAGCTGCTGTTTTTAGAGCCCAGCGGGAAGCTTTCTCTGTGAGGCTCTCAGACCTGGCGGTACTGTGGTGCAGTGGTTAACTCGATGGCCTCACAGTAACAAGCTTCCAGGTTCCAGTCCTGGATTAGGCCTCTCTGTGTGGAGACTGCTTGTTGTGCCCGTTTCTGCGTAGGTTTCTTCTCAGGCTCCTCCAACTGGATGATGACAAATAAAGCATCCCGTGACTTCCCCCACCCTTCCCATAAAAATAAAAAATAAAGTAAATTCAGTTTATTTCTATAGCGCCAATTCAGACATAGAAAAAGAAGCGTAGAAACCAATAGCAACTGTAAAGCTCCACAGGAAACACAGCACAGGAGCTGTGTGTCAGAGGATAAAAGAGAGCACATCCAGTTAGTCACAGTCAGAGAAACAGGACTACACTGAAAAACAGGCCGAGCTCCAACATCTAGAAACAAAGGTGTTGATGGCAGCAGCACAGCTGGTATTTCTCTCCAGGATGGAGTCACAGCCAAACAGGAACAGACCAGATGAAGCTACTATGAGAAAAAAGCAGAGACAGCAGAACATTAGAGATTGAACTAACAGATTCTGCAGAGTGGGAGAATAGAGATAGAATGATCAAATAGGGTCCTCCAGTAGTCTAAGCCTATAGCAGAATAACTATAGAGATAGCTCAGGATAACCTGAGTCACTAACTATAAGTTTTATCAAAAAAGGACGTTTTAAGCCTACCTTTAAAAGTAGACAGGGTGTCTGCCTCCCATTCTATTTTTAGAAATTCTAGGAACCACTAGTAAACCTGCAGATTGAGAGCGAAGTGCTCTGTTAGGAACATGAGGAAGAATCAGATCTCTGATATAAGATGGAGCTTGGTCATTTAAGGCTTTATATGTGAGAAGGAGGATTTTAAATTCTATTCTGGATTTAACAGGAAGCCAATGAAGAGAAGCCAGGATAGGAGAGATATGATCTCTCTTTTTAATTTTCATCAGAACTCTGGCTGCAGCATTTTGGATCAGCTGAAGACTTTTAACTACAGTTTGTGGACTTCCTGATAGTAAAGAATTACAATAGTCCAGCCTTGAAGTAACAAATGCATGGACTAGTTTCTCAGCATCACCCCTGGACAGGAGATTTCGAAAGTTTGCAATATTCCTCAGATGAAAGAAGGAAATTCTAGAAACCTCTTTGATGTGGGATTTAAATGACAGGTCCTGATCAAAAATAACACCAAGAGTTTTTACTTTATTATCTGAGATCAGTTTAATCCCATCCAAATGAAGTGACTGGCTAATCAGCTTCTTTTTCAGAGACTCTGGTCCAAAGACTTTACAGGTGCTGGTCATAAAATTAGAATATCATGAAAAAGTAGATTGATTTCAGTAATTCCATTTAAAAAGTGAAACTTGTATATTATATTCATACATTACATACAAACTCATATATTTCAGATGTTTATTTTGTTTAATTTTGATGATTACAAATGACAACAAATGAAAATCTCAAATTCATCATATCAGAAAATTAGAATATTACTGAAGACCAATAAAAACAAAGGATTTATAGAAATGTTGGCCAACTGAAAAGTATGAACATGAAAAGTATGAGCATGTACAGCACTCAGTATTTAGTTGGGCCTCCTTTGGCCTGTATTACTGCAGCAATGCGGCGTGGCATGGAGTCGATCAGTCTGTGGCACTGCTCAGGTGTTATGATAGCCCAGGTTGCTCTAATAGTGGCTTTTAGCTCTTCTGAATTGTTGGGTCTGGTGTATTGCATCTTCTTCTTCACAATACCCCATAGATTTTCTATGGGGTTAAGGTCAGGAGAGTTTGCTGGCCAATTAAGAACAGGGATACCATGGTCCTTCAACCAGGTACTGGTAGCTTTGGCACTGTGTGCAGGTGCCAAGTCCTGTTGGAAAATGAAATCTGCATCTCCAAAAAGTTGGTCAGCTGCAGGAAGCATGAAGTGCTCTAAAACTTCCTGGTATGTGGCTGCGTTGACCCTGGACCTCAGAAAACACAATGGACCAACACCAGCAGATGACATGGCACCCCAAACCATCACTGACTGTGGAAACTTTACACTGGACTTCAAGCAACGTGGATGAAGTGCCTCTCTTCTTTTCCTCCAGACTCTGGGACCTTGATTTCCAAAGGAAATGCAAAATTTACTTTCATCAGAGAACATGACTTTGGACCACTCACCAGCAGTCCAGTCCTGTTTCTCTTTAGCCCAGGCAAGACGCTTCTGACGCTGTCTGTGGTTCAAGAGTGGCTTGACACAAGGAATGCGACAGCAGAAACCCATGTCTTTCATACGTCTGTGTGTGGTGGTTCTTGAAGCACTCACTCCAGCTGCAGTCCACTCTTTGTGAATCTCCCCCACATTTTTGAAGGGGTTTTGTTTCACAATCCTCTCCAGGGTGCGGTTATCTCTCTTGCTTGTACACTTTTTTTCGACCACATCTTTTCCTTCCCTTCGCCTCTCTATTAATGTGCTTGGACACTGAGCTCTGTGAACAGCCAGCCTCTTTAGCGATGACCTTTTGTGTCTTGCCCTCCTTGTGCAAGGTGTCGATGGTCGTCTTTTGGACAACTGTCAAGTCAGCAGTCTTCCCCATGATTGTGTAGCCTATAGAACTAGACTGAAAGACCATTTAAAGGCTTTTGCAGGTGGTTTGAGTTAATTAGCTGATTAGAGTGTGGCACCAGGGGCCATCAATTTTGAACCTTTTCACAATATTCTAATTTTCTGATATGATGAATTTGAGATTTTCATTTGTTGTCATTTGTAATCATCAAAATTAAACAAAATAAACATCTGAAATATATGAGTTTGTATGTAATGTATGAATATAATATACAAGTTTCACTTTTTAAATGGAATTACTGAAATCAATCTACTTTTTCATGATATTCTAATTTTATGACCAGCACTGTAACTTCTGTTTTGTCTGCATTCAGAAGTAGAAAGTTAAGAGTTATCCAGGTTTTTATGTCTTCAAGACATGCCTGTAATCTATGTAATGGGTTAGCTTCATCTGGATTTATAGACAGATATAGCTGGGTATCATCAGCATAACAGTGGAAATTAATCCTATGCTGTCTAATAATTGTACCGATTGGGAGCATGTATAAAGTAAAGAGAATTGGTCCTAGCACTGATCCCTTTGGTACTGCACATGAAACCCTTGAGCAAGACAAAGATTTATTATTAACATGAACAAACTAAAATCGGTCAGACGGATAAGATTTAAATCAATCCAGTGCTGTTCTTGTTTCCTCCTACAAAATATTCAAGTCTTTCTAAAAGAATATTATGATCAACTGGATCAAAGAGAAGTCCATTATCTGAGGCCATGAAAATATCATTGGTGATTTTCCAGCTTTTTTTATTGTCATTACACTTTCACAAGTACAGACCAACGAAATGAACTCTCTGCATTTAACCCATCCCCTTGGAGAGCAGTGAGCTGCTGTTGTGCAGCGCCCGGGGAGCAGTGTGGGGTTAGGAGTTTTCCTCAGAGACCCAGAGGTGGCAGCCTGTGGGAGTGGAGCTCGAACTCAGAACCTCAGGATTCCAAGCTCTACGCCCTAACCACTAGGCCGCCACTCACCTATCAACAGAGCTGTTTCAGTGCTATCATGAGCTCTGCATTTAACCCATTCTACTCTAATTTTAAAGTTTTTCTTTTTCAAAGGGTCTACGTCCAAGACAGTAATATACAGTAAACTAGTAACCCCATCAACAAAATCAGCAATTTGTAAAGCAGAATAAATTAAATGGCTGCCCTCTGCAGCACTGCTCAGCGACACAGAGGAAAGTGAAACAGATTCTTTAAAATTTATAATTGCATTATCTAATTATCTGCTAAAATTGAACCTTCTTTTAGGGGAGGAGAACTCTGTTAAAGTAATCCTGAAAGTTATTAAAAAGTGGTCAGAGGGGAAAGGGTTGTGAGGAAATACTGTTATTTCTTCACATTTGATGCTATATGTCAGCACAAGATCGAAAGTATGAAGACGAGAATGTGTGGGACTACTCACATTTTGAACAAAGCAGATGGCGTCTAAGATAGCATTAAATGCTGCACTTAAGCTATCGCATTCAATGTCAGCATGGATGTTAAAATCCCCCACTATGATAACACTGTCAGTATTTAACACCAAATCAGAAAGGAACTCTGAAAACTCATCTAAAAATTCATAGTAAGAACCTGGTGGACGATACAAAGTTACAAAAAGAAGAGATTTTCTTTCTTTGCAATTTGGATGAGGGAAACTAAGGGTTCAATGTTTAAAAGAGTTGTAATTATTAACTACCTTTGGAGTAATCAGTAAATTAGACAGTATTTCTGGGTATTTGAAAATTTTAATGACTAGAGGGAGTTGACTCGTTTATGCTCAATTATCCTCTTGCTACATTTGACATTAAAGGTCTTTTAGATCTATGTGACATACATCTAACATGACTGGGTTGGTCATGAGTTGATGAGTGAGTTTCATCTGAACACTACTGTAGTGGAAATGTTTCCCACTCAGTATGGAGCCCTGTGGTCCTCCGTAACCAACTGCTGCAGATTTATCAACCTGGACTGGATCTGTCGACCCAACACGACTTACCAGAACTATCAGGGAAACTTCTACACTCCAGACTCCATGTCTTCAGAGGTTTTCAGTGAATGAACAAATGTCAAGTGCCACTTCTGATGGCAGATCTATGTTGATCTGGTCCAAGATCCCCTTTCTTACGATGCCTTTATGCTCTCTGCAGGACCAGCTGATGTATGAGAGGCTCAGGGAGTCCCTCAGCAGATGACCACTGAACCAGAACCAAATGTTTGCTTTCCCACGGAAGAATCGCTCTTCATGCTGTTTTTTTGGTTTTAAAATAAAATCAGGACTCAAACTTCTCTACCCTGGCTTTGTTTGATCCAAAACTGATAAGTTCTACTATTGGACCTGGCTTTGAGTAACACAACCAGGTGTGTTTTGTTTTGTTTTTATCAGGGTCTCCTCCTCATGAGGGAGGTTCTGTTCCTGTGCGCAGGGGGAGATGGTTTGGTTCTGGTTTAATTCGTGAGCCACATCTAAAATGGTGCTAAAAATTAGGGGGTAAATTACAACAAAATTGTCAAATACCTGTAAAGAGAAGAAGGAAGAAACACGTCAAAGTTAAATTCAACAGCTGGTTTTCTTGCCCAGAGGAACATGTCGCTGGCCTTTTATCCCAGAAACGATTCTGCTGCCTTCTTCAGATCCGTCTCCTGTGTCTGAACTGGTTTCTCATCGTGCTTTGACTAGGCCACCTTAATATGGATCTAAACCTTCCACTACAGCTCTGGATCTGCTGATTCACTCTGGCAGAGGGGGGACCAAGTCATCCTTTAAAATTCAAATTTTTTTTTCTTTCTCATATTTCATACCTAAAATGAAAATGATTAAAAAGGTTGTTTTTTTTTTTAAGTAGAAAAGTCTATTTAGGACCTGATTGCAGAGCATGACCACCATTGCTGTCTAATCCCCTTCAACCTGCAATGAGTCATGGCAGCCAACAGAGCATCAATATGCACCAAATGCTCAATATTAACATTGGATTTATCTGAGATTAGGCTAATAGTTTGGTCAAAGGTTGCTTTTTAATGACTCTAAACACATGACAAAGCCAGCACAGAACCTTTACTTCTAAAAGGGAACTTTTCAAAAGAAAATCACTACGTTTGTTCTTCTTACAATTTCAAATGCCATTCAGTTCTGATTCTCTTCCCTTAAACATTACATTTAATTTTGAGTAGTTTATATAATAAAAAATAAAACAAAAATAAATACTCTGCATGTCCTAATTTAGCCAGGATGAGTTACTGAAGTACAGAATGTGAGCACTCTGACATTAAAGCACATCAAAGTACATAAAATTGGGTTAAAAAACAACAGGATAGACATGAAGTTTTTGCCTTGAATGATAAGAAAAAATTAAAGACTACATTTTAAAACCTATTTATAACAGAAAACAATGTCTCCACAATAAATAGGTTCATTTTCCCCTTTTGCTCCCTATGTTAAAATGTCAGGCAGGATGATATAGATTGAGCTGGACAGAAGTCCTGCAGAAGCAGAGCTCTGCTGTTTTCAGCATTAAAGCTGCAAACAGCTTAAGCATGAAAGTAGAACTTGTAAAGCAATTCACAAGTAAATATAAAAGCCCATAAACAGGTAACAGATAAGGAATGACTGCGTCTCAGAGTCAGCTGCAGCATTTCCAGCCTCTGTCTTCTCTGAACTAACTGGGCTCCAACCGCCCCCATTTCATTACCTAAATGTGAAGACGTTATCAGGAAGGAGCAAAGCGTACTGATTGGAGTTCAAATGTAGATTCCAAAAAAAAAAACCGCTACATGAGTAATTATACTCAGTTATTTTTCACCTTTAATAAATGTTGCGTTGTTATAATAGTTTGTTTTTTTACTCTAGATTTTGGGTTAAAATCTCATCAAAGTCTTAGCCTTCAATTCTTTGAGCCTAAATTAATAAAATAACTGGAGTTCAGGTCGCGTGACCAACATCCCCAGCAAATAGGTTCCTTATTGCTGGCAGAGGGTCTGCATGGTGAGGCTTTAGTCTGTAACGGCGCAGCAGGAGAGGCCTTAAAGAGAAATGATTGTTTTTAGGCTGCTCAAAGGTTGATTTAACGTGTTGAACACATGATAAAGCAGCACAGAACATTTACTGATAGAAGGAATTTCTTAAGTTTGCAAAAGAACCTCGTAGTTTGCGCTTCATTAAATTTAAAGAGATTCTACAAGACAGTTTAGCCTTAAATGATAAACTATTTTAAAATGGATTCTAACAAATCATAATTAAACATCCTGATTTGAACTGTTTTATATTTCTAGGTGTGCAATCATTAATCATTTTTCTTCATTCTACAAAATAGTTTTTCCCTTTGTAAAAATTGTATTTTTATTCTGTTAAAGCAAATGTTTCACTGGGCTTTTAAAAAAAAATAAAATCTAAAATGTGACTGTGAAAGGAAAAGGCTGCAGAGCAAAGTTTGGTCTCATCCCAGGACAGAACCTTCTACCTACCATTCTTCTTGCTTCTCTAATCTGGAGATTAGAGGTCTATCCTGACAGAGATTGTTCTGGAACCAAACCTGTATGTAAATGGACCCAGAGCTTCCTTCCTGAACCGTCTACATGAAGCTTCTCTGGGTTCAGAACCTGAACAGACTTCTGGAGGTTTAGATGTGTGTTATTGGGGGGGTTAAATTAGCATAAAGGGATTAAATGTTAAACCTGATCCTTCTTTTTGGCTCGCTCTGTTCTCACGCTGCTGGACGCGTTCAACATGAAGGAACAAACAAAGACAGAAGCCGTTTCCACTGTAGGAAAATAAGTATTTGTTTTATTGCCTTGAGTTAAAAAGCACAATACTGAGAATAAAATCAAAGTGAACAAGCAGAGCACCGACAGCGGAAGAAGAAATTAAAAACGCGTTCATCTAGAACTTTAACAGGCACAGCGAGGCTTAGTGCAACAAATACATGACCTAGAGTTTAAGTTTGACACGGAGGAAAGCCAACGGCTGGTTCTTAGTACAGACTGGACCGAACCGGAGGACTTACAGCAGCTATCAGACATAAAGAGCGATGGACGTCACCCCCTCAGCTGGGCGGGGGGAGAGCTTATGGAATGCATCAGTAACTGTTGGTGTGTCCCAACATTCCGAACCTTCGGCTCCTGGGTGGCCCCAGGAATACTTCATCATCATGGAGACACGTTTGACCTTCGTCACACCAGCAGGGACAGTTAGGACACCAGGAGCTGCATCAGTGAGGCCTGCAGAGCGTCTGAGCCTTAGGTTAGAGCGGATCGGTTCAGCCAAGAAGCAGATTCCATCCTCAATAAGGCTCCATCTGGCTGGAGGGGCCGCTTCAGAAAGCCGCTTTGTGTCGAGGACCACAGCAATCTCTAACAAGTGGATCCAGAAGCTTCTTTCAGGACACACCCGTTAACATTTAGCGTCATGGCAACCAGCTGTCCAGAAGCTTCTTCAGCCAAGCTGTGGTGGCTGGTTAGAATATGGAGAGAAATAAGTTCCAGTATTACTGAAACCTTTAAAAAATGGAAACGTGAAAATACAAAAGTTTAGCTACATTTTTACAGCTTGCTTGTTTTTTTTCAGATTCCTTTTTCAGGCTTCATAAAAAAAAAAAAAAAAAAATAAATAAAAAAAAATCTTTTTTATAGGAGGTCGGTTCTGATTGGTCTAGGCACAGACTAATAGAAATGCTATCTAACCTAATGGCTCTGGTTTCATCCAGAAAGGTAGAAAATGGGAAAAATTTGAAAAGAAAAGATGCAACTCCAAAAAAAAAATCTCATAATTAAAATCAAAAAGAAACAGCAAACTGTAAAAATATCGGTTAACTTTTGCAAACACCAGATGCATTTAAAACATTATTCTATATGAAGAAAGTTCCTTAATTTCCATTCTTTACCTTCAGGAATTTTGGCCCAAATTTCTCCCAATAAGAAAAGTCTGACTGTAGGATTTAATGTCCAAACAGAAAGGACCAAATATGGCAGTGAGAGAGAAAGGATTCTGATTTTATTTTGCTCATCTGATAGTTAAAAACCAGTACAAGGTAGCTGGGATGTTTACTGCTAAGCTAAGACATAACCCCCATTACCAACCAAGCTGGCCTGAAAGGGAAGAAAGATTTGGTCACATTCCAAACCCTGAAGGTAAAAATCTCAGTAACAAACGTTACCCCCCCCCATGAGCTGAACTTGATGCAGAAAGAGTTAGAAAGTCAGAAATGTGAGAAGGCCTCAGTCATATGGATTCTATAGCTCTGGTTTGGAGAAGCTCTCTGTTACTCCTGCTTGACGTCTCCCTTTAACTTCCTCTTGATCCGAGAGTACGGGCTCAGCTTGTCGTCCATGATGAAGTCGTACAGCACCCTCACCCACGACGAGTACTGAGGCAAGTCATCGTAGTATTCTGAGGCGATTTTCTTCACCTGGAACATAGAGCAAAGGTGGGATCAGCAAAGGAACAGGCCTCCTCCTCTGCAGGCGGAGGTGGCGTGGAGCCGTACTCACCAGAGGAAGCCGTCTCCCAGGGATGCTGGGGAAGTCATGGTGCTCGTTGTGGTAGCCCACGTTGAAGGTGAGGAGGTTGAGGCAGCCGTAGTACGAGTAGGTCTCGTGGCCCTTGAGGAACATGTAGTGCTCAGCGATGAAGTGGCCAGAGATGGGGTGCAGGCCCATCCCCAGCATTGAGCCGGCCAGCATGTAAACCACAGGCTTAGCCCCCCACATCCAGTACAGCAGGAAGTTAAAGCCCACCTGGACCGTCACGTTGATCAGCTCCAGCTGGCTGAGCGGTTTGGGGTTGATGCAGAGGGGCCGCACGGCATAGAACAGCGGCTGCAGGATTATCCAGACGAACTTACGAAAGCGTGTGCAGAAGAACCAGCCCTCAAAGTCTGTGGGAATGTCTACGTCCACGCCGTCGCCGCCCAAGTAGCGGTGGTGGTCCAGGTGGTAGCGCTTGAAGGAGGCGGAGTAGGGCAGTCCGATGGGCAGGTTGGCGAACATGGCGAAGTAGCGGTTCCACGTGGATTTGTTGTTTCCAAAGGCAGTGTTGTGTGAGATCTCGTGGATGGCGAGGGTCATGGAGTGGTTGATGCAGCTGCCGAACGCGTACGTCCAAAACAGGACCCATTTCCAGTCCAAGTCTTTGACCAGGTAGAAGGCTAAGAACTGGGTCACCACCATCATGCACACAATCCATTTCAGCCTGGGGTCAGGACCCATCAGCGACTTGATTTCTGGATATTTAGCTGAAGGGGAAATGAGGCAAAGGTCAGATACTGACAGAGAAACCATGACGACACAAACCTAAGCATCTTCAGCAAATCTGTTCTCACAGCACCTGACATGATGTTATGTAACCTGACGGGACGCCAACCATTCCCTTGGCCTCCACTGGAGCTCATGGCGTCATCATGACTACCTCTGACAGTTGGGTGTCTTATCACATTTTACGAATATTTAGACCAACATTAATTAGTGCTGGGCAATTAGACACAATTTACCAAAACGCAACTTTAAATACACTTTTTAATCTGAAATTACCAAAATTTAGGAGTAAAATAAACAAGGATGTAGAACCATCTCCTCACCAGTAGGAGGCAGTAATGGACCTAAAGGGTGTTCACCAATGGAAAGAAGATGAACACAAAACCATCGTTCAAACTTTATATCAGTGGCTGTTTCTCAATTCAAAAGAACGCCAGTATGGACTTGTGTCCTCGCCAAGTATGTTCTTGAGAAGGACCCAAGAAAATGTGGACTCGGGGAGAACGGCAGCACGCAGCATAAATATGGGTCAATTAGAACCGTACTGATGATATCACATGCCCAGCTCGTCTAGAGCTGCATTTCTCCTCCTGTTATCAATAGTCCAGATAATAATAAATTCTGACTTTTTAATTTAGTGGGGGAAACTGCAATTGCAGTTGTGGGCTGCAATACTTGTGTGTTCTCATGTGCTCGTGAAACATCATCATCCTCAGCACTAGCACTGTTCCATTTCACAAGAATAGAAGACCGAGAACTGACTATGGCTGCGTCTCAATTCGCAGGCTGCGTACTTCCGAGGACGCAGCCTACCTAGCCTCCGGAGGACCCAGACTTGGTAGGCTGCTCCGGAGGATGCTCAGCCGTTGGTAAATGGGACGGTCTAGCCTTTGGAGCACTTCCTGGTTGCGACACGACGTCATCGCGTTTACCCCAAACACAGCGCGAAACAAAATCCGACAGCTCGAGAAATACGGAAAGAAACAACAAAAAAATAGATATGGAAATTTTTATTTTTTTTATTTACTTGTTATTGGAGGAGGAGAGTCGCTTTGACGGCTTCGGCGGCAGCAAAACCTGCGACGGATTTTTCTCAGGCTGGCAGAGCGCAGTGGAGAGGTAAGATCTACCTGCTATTATTCTAACCCACAGGGGCCTGCTAATGATCAGAATATACCAGCTATTAAATAAACGCTTGTCAGCAGATTGATGAATATGTTTAAATATCAAAGTTTTATATTTATTTGTAAGTTTGTGATTTATTTGTTTAGTAATTTGAATTGAATAGTTAAATGTGTACAAACCCTGTAAAGAACTGACTTAAATCACTACTTTCACCATCACTAATGTTGTGTTGAGAAGCCAAACTGTTGAGAAATAAATAATTTTTGTCTAAATTATTATCCCCTTACTGCCTGATTTTATTTGCAATTTTATATATATATATATAAACATAATACGGGGAAAAAAAATCTAAATATAAAAACGAAAAAAATAAGTTAGTGGATCTAGATGAAGTAAAATGGAATTTCTAATAAATCATGTAATAAAGACAAGGAAAAAAAGATAGATGACTGAATAAAAATAAATATTTTTGTCTTTTTTTTTCTACAGGTCATAACAGCCCCAGAGGATGAAGAGCAGGACGACATGCCAGAGGATGAGGAGGGGGAGAACGTGTAGGAGGCAGTCAGTGGTGCTCCATGGCGGGACCAGCTGTCTGCCGAGGTGTCTGCTCTGGAGGAGGGTCTACCTGACCACTTTTACATTTAGATGGCAAGTAGAATCACATTTTAGCTGTTCTCATTTCAGGGTTATAAAAACAGTTTTAGTAAATTCATTATTTTCTGCGTCTTTTTGAACATTTTTAGTAACATGGCAGCCATCGATTGGATCAGCAGTGGAGAGAGGCAACCCCCACCCCCCAGATGATGTCCCACTCGCAGTCAGAAGACTCCAAGCTCATCTGTGTGGCATCCCATCCATTCCAGCACCACCAGGGACTCCTGCTCAGTCACAATTATATATATATATATATATATATGTTCTCTAATAATATTTACTGTATATCTTCTGTAAATGGTTGTAGTAGTTAATTTTAAAATCTAATGTCAATAGTTAAAAATGTTTAATAGTTTATTGTAAATACTTGCTTCTCTAAAAATAAACTGATGTCACTGAGAAGTTGTTCTAAGTTTACTTAAAATACAAAGTGATGAAACAGATAATGTAAAAAGGTTAAAAGACTTTAAGAACACACCGACAGCAATAACTTTTATAAACAATTTAATAATTCAATTTATCCATAACAGCAACACAGAACTTCAACTTGTTAAAAAAAACACCAAAAAAAATAACAACATCTGTCCACCATCCTCTCCAATAAATGAAATAATCTGTCCATCCTTTCCCGCCTCCCTCTGCCATCTGATATCCTCACTGATTAAATCCACCATTACTTCTTCTCTTCCTCCTTTCCCTCCTCCCTCATCCTCATTCTCTTCCTCATCGTCACCCTGATGCTGCTCAGCCTCTGCAGCACCTGGCCCTGCTGTGTCCTCAGGGATGGAGGCAATTAGGACAGGTGGGGTAATAGAGGGCCTCTGTCCTAATACCTCCTCCATGAGGACAAACCAGGGCCAGGTGGCAGCAGTAGGATTCCCACTGACCCGCTGCCCTGTCCAATGATCTTTGCATTCCTAAAGTAGAGGAAAACTATTTTTATCAACAGATGCTATTTTCTATAGTGTTTCTTTAAAGCTAGAAAAAAGGAATGTTTCATGATTTGGACGGATTGATGAAATTCTACAGAAAAAGACTTTGGAATGGTAACCTGGAGATTACTTTTTCAAGCTTACTCAAAGTGTAAATTAACATGAATATAATAAATGAAAGATGTAATTTCCCTACACATACATACATATATAGGTGTGTGTGTGTGTTTCATTACATTATCCAAACCTGAACATACTTTGTATTTTTTTTTTTTAAGTTGTCCCACACAAGGATCACTTCTATCACAAATATGAGATTTACAAAAAGTGGCATCTGAGCATCATTTGATGTGATCAAAAGATTATATTTGTATGTTGGTGTTTGAACAGGACTTCTTTTAACTTGTGTGACTTTTACATAGAAATGCAACATGTAGATGGAATTCTGCCTCAACTCTTCCCTCCATCCGACTGCAGCAGTATTTTTGGCCCCGATGATAAGGTGGTCATTTTATCCACTCCTCTGTCTGCTCCCTGGAACAAAATTACATGTAAAGCATATTTCTGTTAAGTCAACAGGCAAAATAACTGTTCTGTATAATTATGCCTGTATTGTTCTTCAAGCGAATTATACTTTAAACCTTATTATACTGTACTGTAAATAAACTATACGTTATTGAGTATTAAAACAAAACGTTTGCAGTATTAACAGCCCAGTACAGCTGGACTAATGTTATTTCTTCAGCTGCATTAAGCTTTAACAGCTCTAATCCTTTGTAATAAACTGATTGGGAATAAAATGATCTGATTGGTGAGGGACACGGCTATCAGTACAGTAAGATGTAGGTTAAAATAAAAAATAATGACATTTGTATGAAGGCTTTTAATTGTTGATGAACATCACGTATCAACAGGTTAGCTCTTAGCTTTAGCTGCTCCTACATATTCCGGTGGCTCCGTTACCGTCATGTATTTTAATAGATGTTCATTAAAAAAAAACAAAAAAAACACACTACTTACATATAAAGGTGTTCTCCGCACTACTGTCGGCGCTGCTGCTGCTTTCGGTTGTCCGTAACTTGAAGAAAATCCGACTTTCTTCTTCTTCTTCTTCAACTACTAAAAAAAAAAAAGAAGCGCGCAAAGCACCTCGGGAAATCTAGTGGGAGGCTAGGCCACTAAGGACGGTAGCGATGCGTCCTCAGAATTCGGGGAAAAGGAGGACGCATTTTAAGGCTGCATTTTAAGCGTCCTCAGAATTTTTGCCAAATGGGACGGCCTCCGCGCAGCGTTGTGACGTCACCGGCCTCAAAATGCGTCCTACCAAGTACGCAGCCTGCGAATTGAGACGCAGCCAAAGTCCCCGGATGATGTTCTTGCCACTCCCTCTTTACCCAGAATGCATCAGATCAGACATGTCCATTCTTGAGATCGACTAGCAGCCCTCTCTCTGCATAGCCGTGTGTGAAGGACCGCTGGCTCTGATGGCGAGTTTTTTTGTTTTATTTGGAAAAATGTTCATTTGATTAGTGTTCATCAGACTGTGTTAATTATCATTCCCCCAATAAATGAAAAGAGAATTTATTATCATCTGCAGACGAGCAGAAAGTGTGATGACATCACACGTACGCTTCTGTTCCAGTTGAGCCATATGTATGCAGTATGCTCCCGTTCTCCAAGAGTCCACAGAACACGAGTCTGTACTCGCGTTCTAGTGAATTGAGAAACGCCCATAGTTCTGTGTTTAATTAATCAGTTTCCAACCACTTCCCATTTTAAAGGACGGTTCATACAGCCTTTAGGCGCATTACCGCCACCTACTGGTAAGGAGAGTTACTGCCTCGTCACGGCTGGTCTTGGCGTGGTGACATCTGGGTTCTGTGACGCAGCAGAGAATGACCGGGGCGCAGTTATTCCTGTCTCCACCTGATGAATGTGTGATTTCAAAGCAGCCATCTTCCCTCATAACCCGCATTAAGCCTCTCCTGTTGGGGTGTGGTTCAGCCCCCCCTCCCTGTCATTCTGTAGAAATGTTATTCAATTCCTGCGTGACGGACATGAAATAACTCAGCAGCAGCAGCAGGGAGCAGCCATGTTTATTTAACATCCCTCAGGCCACAGACCGTTAGTCTGAGCCGCCCTGTTAGCTTAAACCCTGCGTGATCGGGACCGTTAGCTTTGCTCGCCGGAGCGGAAACCCGGAACTTCCCACTAAACCCGCAGCTTGTTGCATAATAAAACAGAAACCGACGCTACGTATCGTAACGACTTTAAACCTGAATTCAAAACCCTGTAAAGTTTCCTCTCCGGCTGAGAGGTTGCTAACTGGAAGCTAGCTCACCCAGGATCTCCTTCCTCCTGTCCGCGTGCGGCTGGTCCGTATACACCCATTCGTAGTCCTCGCGGCCCACTCGGTTCCCCATCTTCTCTCGCGGCGGCACCAGCAGCGGGCCCAGCCTAATGGTAAGGAGAAGGTCCAAAAGTTCGGCTTGGATTCGGAGCGTCCGGGGCGTCCTTGTCTCCCTACAGCAGCGGTTTAAGCCCCGCCCTCTCGCCGCGTTACGTCAATTGTTGCGTCTCTGTTACCTAACATGGGTTCTGTGCAGCAAGAGAAAATGCAGGAAAGAGAATAACCGCAGCTTCTGAAATTGCTTTAAATCACTTCCTGATAGTCATCTTTACCCAGAGTTCATGTCTGCAGGCTGTTCACTCTTCTGGGTTTTAATAAAAGTTACATAAAGATAATAATCATCAGAACTAAGAGTAGAGTAAAACCTGTGCCAGTCCTGTTCTGGGGGTTTTTCCTCAGAGGTTCAAAGATAGAATCAATCATCAATGAGGAGGGATTAAGTTTCACCAGTGATTACATCACAGGAAGAGTTCTCTCAGTTTCTGATGATTTTAAGAGGTTAAAGGTCAGCATGGTTATCAGTCAGTCTGTGGATAGTGGATTCTGCCTACTGGGTGATGCAAACATCAAGCAGCTGGAGAAAGGTTGCACACCCCCTGGAAGTAGTGTTCAATCCAATCATCCATTAATTTTCTGTCACGCTTTATCCCCGCTGGGATGGCGAGTGTCTACGGGTGAGAGGCGGGGTACACCCTGGACAGGTCGCCAGTCCATTGCAGGGCAACACAGAGACAATAAAAAGATTCACATTCACACCTAATGAGAATTTATAGAAGCCAATTAACCTAACAGTCATGTTTTTGACTGTGGGAGGAAGCCAGAGTACCTGGAGAGAACCAACGCATGCTCAGGGAGAACATGCAGAAAGACCCCTGGCTGGGAATTGAACCCAGAACCTTCTTGTTGCAAGGCAGCAGTGCTGCGCTTCTGAGGTATTTAGTCTTATTGCTGCATAAACAGAACCAGCAGAGAACCAAAATGGAAAAAATAAATTATTGCATAAACTGAGTCTTTTATTTTTTTCTAATTTTTATTTAGCAGTAACATATAAAGTGTGTTTTACACAGAATGTAGAACCAAACTCTTACAGGTCTCTCATCAGTTGATCATCTTTCTATATGATTGTCCAACAACCAGTATCTCTTTTTTTGTTTTTTCTTTCCTATCTAACTCTCTACTCTCCTTTTTCCCATTTCCTTTTGCCCCGTTATTCCCTTTTCTAACTCTCTGCTTTCTTCCTTTTATCCCCTTATCCCTCCTCCCTATTCAATCCCTGCATCTCCTCTCTGAGCTAATCAAAGTAGGCATAGACTGCTAACAAAAGACCTAGATATAAACAAAAGAAAAAATGGGGGGAAAAAACAACATAATAAAAGGAGGAACAGACATATTGAAACATCATTTCAGTAAATTAAAGAAACAGAGTAGCTGTGGGCCTCATGAAGGTCAGCCGTAGAGTCCAGCATCTTATCGTGATCCAGATTCAGTTCTTCCATTTGGATTATCTTCTTCTTGAACAGCGTTAATCCAGGCTTCCAACTTAGATGGTTTATCAGTCATGAACTGAGTTTTACTGATAAACGGAGAACTGCCAGCAGAGGATAAACATTTCCAAGGTTGATAAGGGATAATAAAGGAGTATAAAACCATTCCACTTCTAAATAAGAGGTCAGCAGATTATGTCAGACGATTGGAAAAATAGGCAAACCTTATGATCTCAGAGGAAGTTTGGTTACAGATCTGGAGGAATGTTTTGTCTATTATAAATTCTACAATCAGACTTTCATTTTGTCCCATTTTTATCACCTTAGAAAGAGTTCTGCTTGATGTTCAGTAAAGAACTGCTGTAATCCTGGAAATAAACCTTTCCTTTGTCTCTGTGTACCTTGGTGTGTGGCTGTTCTTTCTTCTGCGCTTAACCTCCTTTGTGTTTTTCCACTTCAGAGCATTAATACAACATCAGTTATATCACTTAAGCTACTTGGTAGGTGTAAACCTCGCCTGTCTGCTCAAATAAAGTAAATAAAACTGCCTGGATTGAATGTTGTGGAGTCGTCTGTTCAGCTGCTGCATGCTGAGATAATGCAAAAGGCAAGAGAAAATGGCAGCTGTATGGAGGCATTTTTATTCCATTATCATAGCAAGCAAAAAAAAACGTTTTTTGTTTTGTTTGTTTTTTACGGAAATATATAATATATGCAATCTAGATATTCAGCTTTTAAAAAACATAATTGTAAAAGGTTTTGAGAGTAACTTTGCTGTTTGTCATTTAATGTTTTAATTAATTTTCAGTTACAGATTCAATTTTAGGAATTGCATTCTTTTTAGATTGGGATTTCCAGATCAGCTTCTCATCTGGGGCGGGGGTCTTTCCTCTGGAGCGCCAAGCAAAGATGGGTTTCTGTTGCCCTGCTGTTAGCAACAACATTTTTATTGGTGAAAAGCGATCATCTGTTTGGGGCTTTAGGGCCATGATTTGAAAATAATGCGATTCCTTAACTTCATTTGAGAAGAACATTAGAAGATAAAAATTTGAATATAAAAACATCAACAATAAAACTAGTGAAAACAGCAAAGTTTCTCTGAAAAATTCTTTTAATTAAGACCTTTTTCAAAGTTTAATTTCTGGGATGTTTCTCTTCAAATTTACATTAAAAAAAAAGGAATCTTTGCTTGCTTCCTTATGAAACATCATGGCTCAGTTTGGTTCAGGCAGTAAAGGACTTAGGTCAAACCAAAGGATACCAACAGCAAATTAACCTCCAGATTATTCTACTATAAAGCTTGACAATTAAGTCTTATCTAAGTAATAAAGCAATAAAAATGAGAGAAGAATTTCCTGTTTGCTTTCTCTTAGAAATCATCCAGTGATTAATACAGGCGCGTGAAAGAAATAAGTAAAGGTTGTAAATCTGAGCGATCTGTCGAGGGAAACGATTAAAAGAAAGAAAGACATTATATTTGAGCACAATAAAGGTTTCTGTTGTTCTCCCAGACGGCAAACTGTCATGTGATGCTCCGTCCTTTCTGTGTGCTTTGCAGGCGGAGGTTTCATGTTGCAGATAACTAGGACACATTCCTGCACACAGAATGAGAACTAGCAGATTCAGATGATTATTAAACCGTGTATAAGGAGCTCCAGAGCTTCCTGCACGCTAACCATCACTCTTCACAGCTGACTGCTGTAATTCATGACTAAATGCATGCAGGCTTGTGTGTTAGTGGCACAGAGGACTTAATAAACCACTAGCTTCCATAGAAATCCACACACACTGATCTTTATGTATGAAATCAGAAAAATTGTTATCTAAAATTTGACATAGTATTAAATTTTTAAATGGCTTTCCGTACTTTGGGTGAGGAAACTGATTCCTTTTTACAGGAAACAAACATTTTCACCTCTGAACCAACAAGCAGTCATAAATACAGAGGAGTTAAACAGTATGATGACCATGACAACAGACTGGCTCAGACCCCCTGAATGGATATCCTCCCCCTCTGTGTGTCTCCTAATGACTCCTAACCTACAGGAGATAAGGCCTCCTGATAAGGTCAGCTGCAGGATCCTGGAATGTAGAAAATGTGCCTCATGTTTTAGATTTGATCAGATGGGCTTCAGGCTGAGAGCCAGCTGGTTGTTTCAGCATGATGACAGATGATCTCAGATCACCAGTTTCTGGTCCATCACAGTGCATATGCACGTATACTAAGGAAGCCTGTGGTGCTCATCTCCTGACGTCAGGTGGAAGGAAGAGTCTGGTCACTGCAGCATCCTGTGGGTTCAGTCATCAGGATCACTTTACAGTAACACTACAGAACCGTTGACCCCAGTGTTGGTTTAACTAGAACTAATTATTTTCCAGCTCAATATTCAGCACTGTGTGTGTATGGAGTGAATGTTGTTCCATTATTGTTGCTGGCAAGCTCTATGTTTTGTAAATTGAATTGGAAAAAATCTGTAAATGAAGTTTTGAAAAGAGAGAAGAGAGAGTAACTTTTCCGTTTTCTCAGATTTCTATCACCAATGCAAGCAGTCACTATCTGTATTTAACCTTTGACCTATTATATTATCAGGCTCCTCTCCTGTGGAACCAACTACCAGTTTTAGTCCGTGAGGCAGACACCCTGTCTACTTTTAAGGGTGGGCTTAAAACTTCCTTTTTGATAAAGCTTAGAGTTAGAGTGGCCCAGGTTATCCTGATCTTTCTATATAGTTATGCTGCTATAGGCTTAGACTGCTGGAGGACATAGGGGCCCCTATTTCGTCATTCTATCTCTATTCTCCCACTCTGCAGATTCTGTTAGTTCAATCTCTAACGTTCTGCTCTCTCTGCTTTTTCTCATAGTAGCTTCATCTGGTCTGTTCCTGTTTGGCTGTGACTCCATCCTGCAGAGAAATATCAGCTGTGCTGCTGCCATCAACACCTTTGTTTATGGATGTTGGAGATCGGCCTGTTTTTCAGTGTAGTCCTGTTTCTCTGACTGTGACTAACTGGATGTGCTCTCTTCATCCTCTGATATGGGAGCTGGCTCGGAGCTCGTCTGCCTGGCTGTGCGTTTCCTGGACAGGGCCGCCTATGGAGCTGGTTGACAGTTGCCTTTCGTATCTCTGCTTCTGTCTCCTTGAACCCCAATATGCTTCAGCAGATGGCCGCTCACACTGAGCCTGGTTTTGGAGGATCTTCCTGGTAAAAATGAGTTTTTCCTCTCCACTGTCGCTAGAAGTACGCTTAGTGTGAGGGATTGCCTAAGAGTCAATGCAATCAACTGTTTTTCGTTAGAAAACTTTGAACCAATCTGACTGGATGATCTGGTTGAATTGTCTCTAAAGCTACCATGATGTGAATTGGCGCTATAGAAATGAACTGACTTGAATTGCATTCAATTAATGCTTAAATAAAAAGCATTAAAGGGGAATTTAAACACAATAAGCTGAATTAACATTAGCAATAGTCATAGGGTGGCCCTGCCGTGGCCAGTGCCCCCCCCTAAATACCAGGTTATGACTCCTTTATAAAGATTACATCTGACTAAAAAATCACACTCAAAACAGACAAACCTGAGCTTCACAGCTGCTGATATTTAATAGGTTTGGTTTAAACATGGAAACAGTAATATGTGCAACAAAACTTCATAGTTGGACTCAAACTTGCCAACTTTAAAGAATATTCTTTGTTTTCCAAACATGAAATAATCAACAATCTACATCTTAAAGTACATGGAGATTACAGTACAATTGCTCTCATTAAGCCACTAGATTACAGCCCAGTGTTACTATAATACACACAAGTGCATTTCCAGAGAGTCATGCCATGAGTGGTTCTGCTCATCCCAACCACACAAATGAATGTTAAGAAGCCAAACAAGCGAGATAAGAGTCCTGGAGGAGCTGAGAGCTTCTCTGCAGACCAATCAGAGCTTCCTGTCACTGAGCCGAGGCCAGGAGGTGCTGCTCAGTTTTAAAAACGGTGAGTTAATAACCTGACCGGCAGCAGGCGGCACCGGCTCTCCTTTAACTAGGCCGTATTTTACTGAAGAGGAACCACAGGTTTTAGGGAAAGAAAGAGAAATTCTTTTTAATGACACTTTGATGCCGAGGCTCAAAATAGAGAAACCTTCCCCACACCTTTCAGATTTACAGCCATCCACTCAGAGCTATGGAGAGAAATTTGTTGCAGAATTATCAACAAAAATACATGTAATAAATCAAACCTAGGAAAACTTTTCATTCTAAAATAGCTTTTGTGATTTATTTATGTGTATTCAAAAGTTTACTTTGTTATTTTATTGTTTTGTTTTTCAGATTTTATTCTATTTTTCAGATTCTTGGAGAGGATCGAAGTCCATCATCTTTCCCATCCAAAAAAAAAACAATCAATAAATAAATCAGTCAAAATAAAATGTGGAAAAAATATAAGAAAACCAGAAATGAATGTAACCTAAAAAAAATCTTTTTTGTTGTTGCAATTATTAGAAACAATTTCTCTCCATATACCTCCAGGCGCAGTATGTTGCAGGCTTGAATCCGGTGGGGGTGGGGGGGGCTATCTGAAAGGTGGTACAGCTCGCCACCATAACCTCCACAGTTCCACAACATCCACAGAAACATGGAAAAATGTCTAACATGACCTGAAATGTAGAAAATCTGGTGTGGACGGTGAGAAGCACCATCTATTCCCACTGCTGCAGCTGCAAAAAAAAAATCTGCCATGTTTGTCTCAGTCCTTCCAGAGAGTAGCTGCTTGTTTAATAGCATCTTAACAAGCCGACAATAGCGGCCTGCAGCCAGCTGATGGTCTGTGTGCAGCAACACGCGGGGGTGGGGCAGCTCTGTTCTCTCTCTTTATGCCAGATTGATCTGGGTTGAACTAACATAACAATGTTTTTAATGCTGGTAACTATAGAAACTATAGAGAGAAATGTTCCAATATTATTGAATGCAAAGAACATTTGAATTAAAAGCCAGAAAATGAAAACAAATTAATTTAACGGAAGTTTGAGAAACTTCTAAAATGAAGAAACGTTTTTTTGAGATTTTTTTTATGCAAAAGCGTGGAGCTTGAAATCTGGATAGAGATTTCAAAATAATGTAAAAAAAAAAGGGAAAAAAAAGAAAATGAAAAAAAAAAATATCGACTGAACTTAGAAATTAGAAATCATTTCTTCACTTTGAAGTTTACTTTTTCCTGTTTAAAACGTTTTCTTTACCTTCAACAATCCTGGAGAAAATGCGTCTCCAAAGCAACCGAGCCATGAACTATACAGAGGTTAAAGGTCAAAGGGCAGAAGGAGCTTCTTGGCGTCCAGCTCAGTCTCCAGGCTCAACAACAAAAATAAAGACTTCATCTTAAAATCAAAGACCGTCTGGATGTCTGCATTCAACAGGGATGAACCTCCCAGACGGAGACCTTGACCTCCATGAATGTTCTCTGATGTCAGCCTTCAACTGTCCACGCTGAGCAGCAGCCAGTTCCAACGGTCCTCTGAGGGACGTCCTGACGTCAACCCTGCAGTCCAAAGTCCAGGCCCGCGGCCTCGGGGCTGCAGCTGTGTAGGTCAGGAAGTATCAGAAGAGGTCAAAAGTCCAAACGCCACAGGAGGTGTCTGTGACACGAGGTGAAGGGCGGGAGGAGGAGGCGGATGGATACGGAGTGTGGAAAACTGACGACTACATCTACATGGTGAGGAAGAGTCATTTCCTGCTGCGCAGCCGCTTGGACTGTCGGGGGAGGTCGGAGCTCTTTCTGCTGCGCTTCAGCGAGGAGCCGCCCTCCGCCTGCGGGGCCGCGCCGCCCGCCGGCGTGCCAGCAGCGGGGGAGGAGGAGGAGGACGGGGCGGAGGCAGAGGTAGTGGAGGAGCTGGGCTCGCCCATGGCGGCGGCGCTGCTGTCCATGAGTTCCCTCAGCTTGTGCTCCAGCTCGGCGAGGCGGGCGTTCTGCTCGCCGATCACCTGGCTCTGCTCCAGCAGCTTCTGCTCCTGGTCCTGAAGCTGCTTCTGCTGCTCCAGCTGCTTCACCCGGATTTCCGTCATCTCCCGCCGCAGCACCGTCATCGACGCGCCGTTCACCTTCACCTGCTGCTGCACCTTGGTCATCTCTGAGCGGGAGGGGGTGTTCTTAGCCAGCAGCGACATGGTGGTCAACGACGTGGAGGGTCCAGCCACTGGGGAGACAGGACGGACGATCAGAACCATTTCATGCCCACTAAAAGCCCTGGATCCTTGGTCCACAGTACTGAGGGGCAGGCGGACGTCAAAATATTTACACCCCCTCAAACTTTGTTCATCACTAACCAGAACATTTCAGAAATTGAAGCGGATCAGAGCAGCAGAACCTGGAGAAACGTCTCCTCCAGCTTCAACCACCTCCAGGCAGAACATTTCTGCTCAATCAGGGGCTCTGAACATGAACTTAGGTTTGGACTTTGACTAGGCCATCCTAAGCCAAGAGTCTGCTGTGATCTCTGGCTGGTTTCCTTCCTTCAAACCGAGCTGCTTCCCTCCAACTGCTGCAGGCAGAAGATGTTGGACCAGCAGAAAGCTGTGAGACTGAAGGACAGACCGGCAGAGGGGAACAGGCCCCTCCCCCAGCCTGCGTTTTACTGGACGGTCCAGTTTTTCTGCCTGGCTCCTCATCAGACGGACTCACCGCTGTAATGCTTTATTTTAGGGAGACAGCCAATAACGTGAGTTCATGTCGGTTTTCTTGTAACTGTTCTGACCCAATCACTGGCTTTGAAATGATGCAACTACTTCTAGATGGTTACATTTATAATGCAGCTACACAAAAAATATGAATATTTTTATAGGAACTGCTTTGTCAATGTCTGGAGAGTGATGCCTGAAGCCAGACGGCTTCCATGTCAAACATCTTTTTTTGGGTTTTAAACCGACCTGGTGCAGATCCAATGAGACGTCCAGACAGATCAGTCCCTGGAAGCTTCTTCTTTAGGATAGGAACGATCTTCTCATCAAAGTACTCCATGGCCATGGAGGAGATGTCCCTCAGCTCCTGCAGGACCTCATGGGCTCGCTGGGGGGCTCTGGTGGAGTTCACGTAGCGCAGCACGCGGTAAATCTCATCGATCACCTAAAGGGAATACAGAGCAGACGGTAACCTGAAGCCTCTCTGATCGCTGCAAGTCCGATCAGGACGTTCCTGCTGACACAGCTCTGCCTGCAGGGGTTCTGCAGAAGTTCTGAATGACGGGCAGCAGCTTCTTCCAGATTCTACAGGAAGCGTTTTCACGCCACTAAATGGACTCTCTGCCTAAAAGAAAGGAACCGAACCATCAGAAAAGGGCCGTCTTTTCTCCCTCTGGGTCCCCTCACAGGTCCCGCGCTAATTTAGCCTGATTAGCTGTTAGCACCTAGGACACATGATGGGTCGGGTCAACAGGGTTTGATTTTTAATAGCAAGACGGACCAACTAAAAAAACGCTTTTATTTCTCAGTTAATTTCGTTTATTTCCAAGAATCCGGTTTATAACATGTTTGGAGAAAATAGTTTTCTAAGGAAAAGCAGCTAATTGTGATCCAGACCTCAGCTTGCAGCAGATGTGGGGACATGCACGCAGTAACAGTGGAGAGGAAAGCTCCTGTTTAACAGGAAGCAACCTCCAGAACCACTGTGCCGAGGCCAGCCAGGGTTCAAATCTGGAGAGAAAAACGTGTTTCAATATTATGCAACTTTTTAAAAGTGGAACTTTAAAACACATTTCAATCCAAAAATAACGCCTTTGTGTCTTTGCAAAATTTTACTACGTATTTTTTTAAATGTTTGATTTTCTTTCAAAAACGTTTTTTGTGAGACTGAACTGAACAAACTTCATTCTGTGTGTGGACCAATAGAAATGCTCTGCTTTAACGATAGCAACAGCGTTCCCGTTGGTTCACTTACAGAAGTATAGAGGGAGGAAAGCTGGAAAAAAAGAAAATTCATAAACATCAGCCTCAGTGATAACGTGTCGAACGTTATTTCAGTTCTACAGGTTATTAATCTGGTCCTTGTTTGATCATGTGCAGTGAGCGAGGTTCAGGTAAATCTCACCAATGCCAACTGAATTTCAAAGGTTTGATTTTCTCCTGACCTAACGATTCGTAATGGAGATGTGGTCATCAGAGGCTGATCGCTCCTCGTTACCTCCTGTACACTACACGATGCACGATGAACCCCAGCCCGGATCCAAAGAAATCCTTACACAAGAAGCGGCCAAAAAAGATAAAAACTCGTAGAGTTTAGCGAAGCTTAGAGAACCTGTGAAAAACCTGTGAATCAGAGGAGCTCTGAAAGAAAATCCATTGAGTCAGGGAAAGCTAAGCCCATGTCTATGAGAGAAACGGGTCCAAACACTTTGCAATACTTGCATGTAAAGTCCACTATTTTTAAAATTCATCCTTATTATTATTATTTTCCAACACCTTGGCAAAACATGTTTTCTTCCAGATTTTTGCAGATTTAACTGGAGCAGAACCAAAGCAATGTTTCATGCTATCTTTGCAGATTGTTTTTGGCGCTCCTTCCCTGGATGCCCTGAGCCTTGACAGCTGCGCTCCATGCGCTGGCTGAGTTCTGCCTTAATGAGGGAGCATAGGCCTCAGGTTTACAGCATCACAGAGGAGGCTTTCATTGGAAACTAGCAGCATCACCATGGCTACCAACCATAAACTCACAACAAGCAGTTTTCCTCCAGAAGTTCTGGTGAAATCTCATCACTGATCCACTGCCGAGACAGAAAGTCCCTGATTTCAGGTGGTGGGAGGCATAAAGGTTTAACATTTTCAAAGCAGCACATTGAATAAAAAACAACTTCTTAAAGATTTCATTTCATTCCTGACATTTTTCACATTTCCAGCTGCAGACAGCAAACATCCGCCCTTTAATATCAGATGTCCCACAGTCGCATGATCACAGGGGCGGAGGACGGAAACAGACCAGTCTGGTTACATTCCAGTAAACTCTGCTTCGTAGCAGACTTTCAATGGTGTTCTTCTACTCTACAGATAACCATCCAGACGGTCGTCTGTAGAGATAACCATCCAGACGGAAGTCTGTAGAGATAACCATCCAGACGGTAGTCTGTAGAGATAACCATCAAGACGGAAGTCTGTAGAGATAACCATCCAGACGGTAGTCTGTAGAGATAACCATCAAGACGGTCGTCTGTAGAGATAACCAACTAGACGGTCGTCTGTAGAGATAACCAACTAGACGGTCATCTGCAGAGATAACCATCAAGACGGTCGTCTGTAGAGATAACCATCCAGACGGTAGTCTGTAGAGATAACCAACTAGACCGTCATCTGCAGAGATCACCATCAAGACGGTCGTCTGTAGAGATAACCATCAAGACGGTCGTCTGTAGAGATAACCATCAAGACGGTCGTCTGTAGAGATAACCATCAAGACGGTCGTCTGTAGAGATAACCATCAAGACGGTCGTCTGTAGAGATAACCATCAAGACGGTAGTCTGTAGAGATAACCATCCAGACGGTCATCTGTAGAGATAACCATCCAGACGGTCATCTGTAGAGATAACCATCCAGACGGTCATCTGTAGAGATAACCATCCAGACGGTCAACTGTAGAGATAACCATCCAGACGGTCATCCGTAGACATAACCATCCAGACGGTCATCCGTAGAGATAACCATCCAGACGGTCATCCGTAGAGATAACCATCCAGACGGTCGTCTGTAGAGATAACCATCCAGACGGTAGTCTGTAGAGATAACCATCCAGACGGTAGTCTGTAGAGATAACCATCCAGACGGTAGTCTGTAGAGATAACCATCCAGACGGTAGTCTGTAGAGATAAACACCCAGACGGTCAACTGTAGAGATAACCATCCAGACGGTCGTCTGTAGAGATAACCATCCAGACGGTCGTCTGTAGAGATAACCATCTAGACGGTCAACTGTAGAGATAACCATCCAGACGGTAGTCTGTAGAGATAACCATCTAGACGGTCAACTGTAGAGATAACCATCTAGACGGTCAACTGTAGAGATAACCATCCAGACGGTAGTCTGTAGAGATAACCATCCGGACGGTCGTCTGTAGAGATAACCATCCGGACGGTCAACTGTAGAGATAACCATCCAGACGGTAGTCTGTAGAGATAACCATCCAGACGGTAGTCTGTAGAGATAACCATCCAGACGGTAGTCCGTAGAGATAACCATCCAGACGGTAGTCCGTAGAGATAACCATCCAGACGGTCAACTGTAGAGATAACCATCCAGACGGTAGTCTGTAGAGATAACCATCCAGACAGTAGTCTGTAGAGATAACCATCCAGACAGTAGTCCGTAGAGATAACCATCCAGACGGTAGTCTGTAGAGATAACCATCCAGACGGTAGTCTGTAGAGATAACCATCCAGACGGTAGTCTGTAGAGATAACCATCCAGACGGTAGTCTGTAGAGATAACCATCCAGACAGTAGTCTGTAGAGATAACCATCCAGACGGTAGTCCGTAGAGATAACCATCCAGACGGTAGTCTGTAGAGATAACCATCCAGACGGTAGTCCGTAGAGATAACCATCCAGACGGTCATCCGTAGAGATAACCATCCAGGCGGTCATCTGTAGAGATAACCATCCAGACGGTCGTCTGTAGAGATAACCATCCAGACGGTCAACTGTAGAGATAACCATCCAGACGGTCGTCTGTAGAGATAACCAACCTAACAGATTAGCTGCTGTAATCTGGGCGCTGCTCCATTGGTTCATTAGGCTGTAACTTTTAATAAAAGTTTTTATTCGAAATAAGGCAATTCAAAGTTTTCGTTTTTTTCCCAATTTTGTTTTCATTGAATTGTTAAATTGAAGTAGAAGCAAAGAAATTCACTCTCTGCACTTAACCCCTTCCCATTTAAGGAGCAGTGAGCTGCACACCCGGGTGCAGCTGGAGATAGGCGCCCGCTCAAACATCAACGCCACACTAACATTCAACTTTTTATGGAGAATCTACTGCTGATCTCCTCCGGCCCGGGGTCTTTCTGCATGGAGTTTGCATGGTCTCCCTGTGCATGTGTGGGTTCTCTCCGGGTACTCCGGCTTCCTCCCACAGTCCAAAAACATGACTGTTAGGTTAATTGCCATCTCTAAATACTCCTTAGGTGTGTATGTGAATTGGTTGTTTGTCCTGTTTGTCTCTGTGTTGCCCTGCGATGGACTGGCGACCTGTCCAGGGTGGATCCCGCCTCTCGCCATTTGACAGCTGGAGGAGCGTCCCTCACGAGCCGATGGAGGGATGGATGAACTGTTACTATCTTACAGGCTTCATGTCTACATTTCCCCCAAAAAGTGATTAGAAATGTATCCATGGAAAAATGTTCCCCATTTAACACCTTTCAAAACGTAATGGTTTTAAGTAATTTATGAGTATACAGAAGTGCACTGTATTTTCCTTTTTTTTAGATTAGATTTTTTTTTCTCGTTTTCTTTTTCCAAAAATGTTTTTTTTTTCAGATGTCATTTTCCAAATACATTTTGTTCAGATTAACTTTTTTTTTTAATCTTCCAAATTCCATTCTAAGTTATCCAGAAGCTAGAAACAGGTCGGGTGGAGCCAAATGGATATCCTTGGTAACGGAGGAAAACCTTGGGCGAGTGTGTGATCAGCTGACCTTTCCAGGTATGAAGCAGCACAGGTTGGAGTCCACATACTTCATGAAGGTCATGTTAAGCAGAGAGAGGCGCGTCTCCACAGCAGCCAGGATGTCAGCATGACGGGCCAGCGAGTGGTTTCTCCTCTCCGACTCCCGCCTGAACACATGAGGAAAACAGAACGCCATAAACGGGACACATCTGGCTGTTTTTGATAGACTACCCTCGAGAGTCAAAGGTCAGGAAAAGTCTGCATCAGTGTGTAGGCCCAGAGATGCAACCCAGTCAAATAAACCTGATTTTTTTTTCTTCTTCTGAGTGATAAATGCATAAAAGGCCCATGGCGGTGCGCATGGAGTTCACCCAAAAGGCCTCTGGGGGACACAGAGCACGAGTGACCAGAGTCTCTGGTCTGATGACCCAACAATTTGAATATGAATGGCATCTCTGAAGGGTCTGCAAAACGGAAACAACTAGAAACCGGAAAAACCCAGAACTTTCTAAAAACACATGACCCAGGAGTCCTTATCAGCTGTGCCGTTTTACATTAGAAGAACGGAGACAAGCCCGTCTCTCTGTGGAGCTGATAGTGCGCCAGTTGTTCTGTAAAAAGTCTGAAACACTGATGGGTGAGCTAAGCTGGCGGCATCAGTAGGAGGAAACATATCCATCAGTTAAAACCTACATAGAGCTGAATTTTTAAATGAAAGTCAAACATGTGAATACATTTAAGAAATCACAAATTTACAAGCAAAAACCAAAAAAAAATCCTCATAATAACTCAAATTGTGGGAGTTTGATTCAGAAATGAACCCAGATAAAAGCCGTTCCACCCCTCGACAGCTTTGTTTTCATATTCTCACTCTTTTTCTAATCTGCATTAGCGCCACCAGCTGGTGAGGAGGGTCACAGCTTCATCAGGGCTGTAGTTTCATACAAGCTTTCAATTTAAAGTTGTTGAAACTTTGTCGTTTGGATTAATAACTTCTAAACTTTTATTTTCACAGATGAAACTTTTGCAGCTGACAAATTAAAATTTATTGACGTACATTCACAAATTCACACATCTTTTTATTGACAGTTATCCTTCCCCATATATCAGAGTAGGAAGGCAGGGAGGCTGGAAATGCTGCCAAAGGGCGATTTCTAAAGTGACCTACCTCTAAAAGATCGGCAACCACCTCCAAACCTCATCATCATAACCGCATATCTAGTGTAGAATTTAGAATAACCAGATGAACTTCATCTGAAACATGAGGAAATGTGGGCGGGGTGCAGCTCTGGGAAAACTTTCCATATGCTCTGCATTCTGACTACTGAACTTCTGCAAACTTTTGGTTTTGTTTCACTTAAAAGCTTTTCTAATTATACCTCCTTAAACCACACCCTGCTAAGGAAAGAGGAAGATCAGATAAAGAGAAAACAGGCTGTTGACCTCATGAACTGTTTCCATGGGCGGTTCTAGACAGGAGCCAACGGGGCCAATGCCCTGTAGATCATGTCTTGGCCCCTGTACTAAAGACATAATACTAAAAGAAATCCAAAGGATGATGTATGCTGGAACAGAGAAGTTTTCTAATGGCTCCTTTGGATCGATTTCATTTTTTTTTCTTTAAAAAACAAAAATTAGAATTATTTAAAGACAGGTGATAACTTCAGCGGTATTTAGACAGGATCCCAGTTTTCTTCCACTAAATGTTTTTTTTTCAAAACAAATTTAAAAAACACTCTAATTTTTACAGCTGAATATATCAGTTTTTCTTGAGTACTAATTCTGATTTTATAGAAAACTGTAATTTACTTTAGCTAAAAATATGTATAATTCCTAAATGATAAATGTATATTGACCTAATATACCAAATATTGAGTTGCTTTTTTGCTATGCTAAGGATTTTTATTTTTATTTGAACAATAATCCAAATAAACATTTTCAAGCAAAAAATAAATATTTTCAGTAGGAACATTTTTATAAAACCTAATTGAATTGAAATTTCAATTCATGCATCTCCTTTAATGTATTTGAATCCCTTGCCCGTTTTTTTTTTTTTTGCTTCATGCTTTTCTGAGCCCCCATGAAAATACACTGCCCCCCTGGAACATTTAGTCTAGAACTGCCACTGACTGTTTCTTAAACACTGAAGGTATTGAAAGCTTTTCCAGGGTGATGAGCTGCGTCTCACATAGGCTTGTCCCGATCCGATCCATGTATTGGATCGGACGCCGATATTGGCAAATAAATGCGTATCGGCAAAGCATGTAAAAATGCTGATCCAGACTGCCGATCCAGTTTTTAAAAAAACCGGTCCGTATTTTCCAGTTTCACCGATTGAAACAATCCACTATTTTGCGCCAGTGTTCCCAGAATCCGGTCCGTATTTTCCAGAACACCTTCAAAACACACAGGTCTTTTTGGGTCTGTCTCCCGGCCTAACCATTAAAACAGGTGAATTGGAAGATAGCGGGGAAAATGTCAGCCGTGTGGGATTATTTTATCCTGCACGATGTGTAGATGGAGACTAGGTGTGGAGGACGTTGGGGAGTATAAGGCATTTTTGTGTAACTATTATTTGCACAGATTTTTTTAAAGCAGTGTCTTTTTTCAAGAGTAGAGTCCTGATTCTAAGTTAATAGACTATTTTTCACTCTTGTCTGTTTTGCATTTTTATTAAAACTTACAGTAGTATAGCACCTTTAACTGTTTACGGTTTTACTGTTCACTGTGCAATATTAGATTGCTATTCATAATTTTGTCCAGTTTGTGTTTATCTGTTAATAAACAGGTAAGTTTGTTGTTACCAAGCATTGTGTTTTATTCAATCTCACCTAATTCAGCTGGCTAGATGTTATCAAGAGTACTAAAACCCTTTTCAACATGAGTCTTACAACTAAGGCTAAATACTAAAAACTTAAACTTAAATACATGCTCGGATAGGCTGGCATCGGCCAGTATCGGTATCGGATCGGAAGTCCAAAAACAATATCGGTATCGGATCGGAAGTGTCTCTAGTCTCACATCATGATGGGCTGTTTAAACCCGAACATAACAGAGTTAAATATGAGCCTCTTATGCAACCGAACCAATTATAGCAGCAGGAGGGTCTTTTCTCAGTAATGGAGGGATGTTGTTATAAGAATAGAAGGTGGGACAGTTTTTACCAGATGTCTGCGTTTGATGGCAGGTTAACATGGCCGGGGTACCTTTGGGTCAACCATAATAATTACTTTAAACAAAAACCTAGGGCTGAAACAGTTATTCAGATTAATCATGACTAATCAATTATTGCTGACAGAGACCCACTTAGAGCAGCAATCATAAACATTTTGCAAGATAAGATATAAACAAAATTGTTGATCAATCTGCCCTATGCAGCCCCTCCAGAGAAAAAGCTTTAGTTTGAACTGGTTAGATTTAGTCAAAAGTCTTCTTTAAGGAACTTTTAGCTGTCTGATTATTGATCGATCAGTCAATGAGTGAAATAATTAGTTGCAGCTCCACAAAAATCTTCTAACTAGGAACAGAAAACCATAAACTCTGATGTTTAATATAAGGTCCAGCTGCTCCATTGCTCGTAAGCTCCTTCCTCCCGGGTACCTAGTAGGGCAATTCAATTCAATATATAATATATTTAGCAAAATGCAATTTTCAAATTGCAGAGGCACTCATTTATAGTCACATTCCATTTAACAGGAGTAAAATGAATTAGGTACATTTCTCCCTGCAGCATTTAGTAATCTAGTAATCTGTTTAGTAATCTACTTAAAATAGCTTTGCAGAACACAGAAGACACTGATGCGGAAAGTAGGAACATTTTCACATAAAGTTTACAGTAAAGTCCTGCAACAAGAAAAAACTGAAAGCCTCAATTGAAACATCTACATATTTGTTCTTAGTGTCAAGGGGAAGAAAATCACAATAAAATCACAATATAGATTTTTGGAAAAATGGTTCAGCCATAGTACCTAGAGGCATTGAAGGCAACGTTGGTACCAGACCCGTAAGGATGGGTCAGAACCTGATGGGATTATTTTCCCAAAACATTTTCTTGGGTTTTACAACTGAGTGCGCTATAGCAGCGGATGAACCCACTACTACCGCTTTGCACTGCCCGAAAAACCTGTTTAAACCAGACAACAACGGGCTTTTAGTGGCAGTGGGAACAGCTCACTGATGCATGTAAGTCAGGCGGGGCAAAGCACAGGGCAGCGGCTGCCCTCACCGGGTCGGGTTCGGTCGCTCCATCCTCCGCTGGCTCCTCCCCACCGTCCGTCGGAGTTCCCGGACCAGACCCGGAGCTCACGGCTCAGTTCTGCTCCACTGTAGTCGACCAAAATCCCGGACGAATTTGAAAATCTCCCCGGACATTTTTTAGGTATTGGATGTTTCAGTGAGTGAGTGCTTATTGCTATGAGGCGTCTTTGCTCAGCAGCTTCGCTCGTTGTAAACCAACCAATCAGCGCACAGCTCATCTAAATATTCATGATCATACCATAAAATGAAGAAAACCTGTAATGTCATTCTAGGGTTTTTGACTAGGCTTGCATTAGGGCTCATAGAACAGCAAATATACCATTTTCAGCCCAACCAATGTTACACATTAAGAGACCTTAAGGACCAAATACCCTATAGAATCATCCTATGACCCCTTTAAAATAAGATAATTAGATAAAATGCACTTGAAATAAGGCAATGTAATTGTCTTTTATTTTAAATGTAAGCTGTCTTGTTCCTTTGGCAAAATGTCTTTTTTACCTCCTCAATCCAAGAACAAATGCACTTATTTTAAGAAAAAAAGAAAAAAGACTTCTCTAGATTTGGATTTTTTCCAGTGGGACTAACCTGGGCAGCTGAGCTTTGACCTGTCTCTGGCACAGGCTGTGGTACCTCTCCACCTTCAGGAAGCCCTGGTTTAGAACACGCTGGCAGATCATGTCCATGCGTTTGCAAACCTGAAGGAGACAGATCAAACAGTCGAGTTTAACATCTACGGGATGTACAGGTGCTGGTCATAAAATTAGAATATCATGAAAAAGTAGATTGATTTCAGTAATTCCATTTAAAAAGTGAAACTTGTATATTATATTCATAGATTACATACAAACTCATATATTTCAGATGTTTATTTTGTTTAATTTTGATGATTACAAATGACAACAAATGAAAATCTCAAATTCATCATATCAGAAAATTAGAATATTACTGAAGACCAATAAAAACAAAGGATTTATAGAAATGTTGGCCAACTGAAAAGTATGAACATGAAAAGTATGAGCATGTACAGCACTCAGTATTTAGTTGGGCCTCCTTTGACCTGTATTACTGCAGCAATGCGGCGTGGCATGGAGTCGATCAGTCTGTGGCACTGCTCAGGTGTTATGATAGCCCAGGTTGCTCTAATAGTGGCTTTTAGCTCTTCTGAATTGTTGGGTCTGGTGTATTGCATCTTCTTCTTCACAATACCCCATAGATTTTCTATGGGGTTAAGGTCAGGAGAGTTTGCTGGCCAATTAAGAACAGGGATACCATGGTCCTTCAACCAGGTACTGGTAGCTTTGGCACTGTGTGCAGGTGCCAAGTCCTGTTGGAAAATGAAATCTGCATCTCCAAAAAGTTGGTCAGCTGCAGGAAGCATGAAGTGCTCTAAAACTTCCTGGTATGTGGCTGCGTTGACCCTGGACCTCAGAAAACACAATGGACCAACACCAGCAGATGACATGGCACCCCAAACCATCACTGACTGTGGAAACTTTACACTGGACTTCAAGCAACGTGGATGAAGTGCCTCTCTTCTTTTCCTCCAGACTCTGGGACCTTGATTTCCAAAGGAAATGCAAAATTTACTTTCATCAGAGAACATGACTTTGGACCACTCACCAGCAGTCCAGTCCTGTTTCTCTTTAGCCCAGGCAAGATGCTTCTGACGCTGTCTGTGGTTCAAGAGTGGCTTGACACAAGGAATGCGACAGCAGAAACCCATGTCTTTCATACGTCTGTGTGTGGTGGTTCTTGAAGCACTCACTCCAGCTGCAGTCCACTCTTTGTGAATCTCCCCCACATTTTTGAATGGGTTTTGTTTCACAATCCTCTCCAGGGTGCGGTTATCTCTCTTGCTTGTACACTTTTTTCGACCACATCTTTTCCTTCCCTTCGCCTCTCTATTAATGTGCTTGGACACTGAGCTCTGTGAACAGCCAGCCTCTTTAGCGATGACCTTTTGTGTCTTGCCCTCCTTGTGCAAGGTGTCGATGGTCGTCTTTTGGACAACTGTCAAGTCAGCAGTCTTCCCCATGATTGTGTAGCCTATAGAACTAGACTGAAAGACCATTTAAAGGCTTTTGCAGGTGGTTTGAGTTAATTAGCTGATTAGAGTGTGGCACCAGGGGCCATCAATTTTGAACCTTTTCACAATATTCTAATTTTCTGATATGATGAATTTGAGATTTTCATTTGTTGTCATTTGTAATCATCAAAATTAAACAAAATAAACATCTGAAATATATGAGTTTGTATGTAATGTATGAATATAATATACAAGTTTCACTTTTTAAATGGAATTACTGAAATCAATCTACTTTTTCATGATATTCTAATTTTATGACCAGCACCTGTACATCTGATCGTTTTCCCGTAGGGAGTGTCTGTTCACGTCTGCAGCAGCAGATCACTGGAAAACTCACAGAGAAACTTTCCTTTCATATTCAGAACCAGGCACACAGACATTAAAACACATCTGCTTTTCCTCACTCATGATCTGATCCAAAAGGACCTCTGTGCAACATCTGGATGTGCAGGTTCATCAGGATGTCCAGCTGATGGAGCAGGTTAAGCAGGGCTGATTGTAGTGCTCGACTTTATAGTTTGCTCTATACCTCCTCCCCTCTCAAAGAGACCTTCACTAAATATGGTATAGCCTACCATTTCTATGCAGATGATTTTCTAATTTTTTTGCCAACTGCTAAAAACAACCACTGCCATCTGACACCCCTACTGACTGTCTGGGTGACGTCAAGGCTTCATTATTAAGAGTTTCTGAAACCAAATGAGAGGAAGACTGAGGTGATGGTGTCTAGCAGAGCCATCTCTGACTCGGGACCTTTGAAGGATTTTGTACCTTCCAAAGTAACCAGCCTTGGTGTCGCCATTCAGCGATTATAACCTGGACAAACTAATAAATCACGTTTTAAAATCATCAACGTCTTTTATCTTTTAACCTCTTTGAACAGGTTTTAGACTTGTTTATCTCTAGCCATCTGGACTACTGCAAAGCCCCTTTTCTAGGCATCAGCAAATGATCTCTCTCCCGTCTGCAGTTAGTCTAAAACGCAGCGACTCGTCTTCTAATGGGGACCAGAAAACATCAGACACATTAAACCAGTTCTCTACACTGGCGCCATGTTGGTTTTAGAATTGATTTTAAATAAGCTCTGCCCTGGTGGTTACAGACTGCCTGAGTAAGCTCTGCCCCGGTGGCTACATATTGCCTGAGTAAGCTCTGCCCTGGTGGCTGCAGACTGCCTGAGTAAGCTCTGCTCTGGTGGCTGCAGACTGCCTAAGGAAGCTCTGCTCTGGTGGCTACATATTGCCTGAGTAAGCTCTGCCCCGGTGGCTGCAGACTGCCTAAGGAAGCTCTGCCCCGGTGGCTGCAGACTGCCCGAGTAAGCTCTGGTCTGGTGGCTACAGACTGCCCCAGCACGCTCTGCCCCGGTGGCTACAGACTGCCCCAGTACGCTCTGCCCCGGTGACTACAGACTGCCCCAGTAAGCTCTGCCCCGGTGGCTACAGACTGCCCCAGTACGCTCTGCCCCGGTGGCTACAGACTGCCCCAGTACGCTCTGCCCCGGTGGCTACAGACTGCCCCAGTACGCTCTGCCCCGGTGGCTACAGACTGCCCCAGTACGCTCTGCCCCGGTGGCTACAGACTACCCCAGTAAGCTCTGCCCCACTGGCTACAGACTACCCCAGTAAGCTCTGCCCCACTGGCTACAGACTGCCCCAGTAAGCTCTGCCCCGGTGGCTATAGACTACCTGAGTAAGCTCTGCCCCCGTGGCTACAGACTGCCAGAGTAAGCTCTGCCCTGGTGGCTACAGACTGCCCCAGCACGCTCTGCCCCGGTGGCTACAGACTGCCCCAGTACGCTCTGCCCCGGTGGCTACAGACTGCCCCAGTAAGCTCTGCCCCGGTGGCTACAGACTGCCCCAGTACGCTCTGCCCCGGTGGCTACAGACTGCCCCAGTAAGCTCTGCCCCAGTGGCTACAGACTGCCCCAGTACGCTCTGCCCCGGTGGCTACAGACTACCCCAGTAAGCTCTGCCCCACTGGCTACAGACTACCCCAGTAAGCTCTGCCCCACTGGCTACAGACTGCCCCAGTAAGCTCTGCCCCGGTGGCTATAGACTACCTGAGTAAGCTCTGCCCCCGTGGCTACAGACTGCCAGAGTAAGCTCTGCCCTGGTGGCTACAGACTGCCCCAGTAAGCTCTGCCCTGGTGGCTACAGACTGCCCCAGTAAGCACTGCCCTGGTGGCTACAGACTGCCCCAGTAAGCTCTGCCCTGGTGGCTACAGACTGCCCCAGTAAGCTCTGCCCCCGTGGCTACAGACTGCCCCAGTAAGCTCTGCCCCGGTGGCTACAGACTGCCCCAGTACGCTCTGCCCCGGTGGCTACAGACTGCCCCAGTACGCTCTGCCCCGGTGGCTACAGACTACCTAAGTAAGCTCTGCCCCACTGGCTACAGACTACCTAAGTAAGCTCTGCCCCACTGGCTACAGACTACCTAAGTAAGCTCTGCCCCACTGGCTACAGACTACCCCAGTAAACTCTGCCCCACTGGTTACAGACTGCCCCAGTAAGCTCTGCCCTGGTGGCTACAGACTGCCCCAGTAAGCTCTGCCCTGGTGGCTACAGACTGCCCCAGTAAGCTCTGCCCTGGTGGCTACAGACTGCCCCAGTAAGCTCTGCCCTGGTGGCTACAGACTACCTGAGTAAGCTCTGCCCTGGTGGCTATAGACTACCTGAGTAAGCTCTGCCCCCGTGGCTACAGACTGCCAGAGTAAGCTCTGCCCTGGTGGCTACAGACTGCCCCAGCACGCTCTGCCCCGGTGGCTACAGACTGCCCCAGTACGCTCTGCCCCGGTGGCTACAGACTGCCCCAGTAAGCTCTGCCCCGGTGGCTACAGACTGCCCCAGTACGCTCTGCCCCGGTGGCTACAGACTGCCCCAGTAAGCTCTGCCCCAGTGGCTACAGACTGCCCCAGTACGCTCTGCCCCGGTGGCTACAGACTACCCCAGTAAGCTCTGCCCCACTGGCTACAGACTACCCCAGTAAGCTCTGCCCCACTGGCTACAGACTGCCCCAGTAAGCTCTGCCCCGGTGGCTATAGACTACCTGAGTAAGCTCTGCCCCCGTGGCTACAGACTGCCAGAGTAAGCTCTGCCCTGGTGGCTACAGACTGCCCCAGTAAGCTCTGCCCTGGTGGCTACAGACTGCCCCAGTAAGCACTGCCCTGGTGGCTACAGACTGCCCCAGTAAGCTCTGCCCTGGTGGCTACAGACTGCCCCAGTAAGCTCTGCCCCCGTGGCTACAGACTGCCCCAGTAAGCTCTGCCCCGGTGGCTACAGACTGCCCCAGTACGCTCTGCCCCGGTGGCTACAGACTGCCCCAGTACGCTCTGCCCCGGTGGCTACAGACTACCTAAGTAAGCTCTGCCCCACTGGCTACAGACTACCTAAGTAAGCTCTGCCCCACTGGCTACAGACTACCTAAGTAAGCTCTGCCCCACTGGCTACAGACTACCCCAGTAAACTCTGCCCCACTGGTTACAGACTGCCCCAGTAAGCTCTGCCCTGGTGGCTACAGACTGCCCCAGTAAGCTCTGCCCTGGTGGCTACAGACTGCCCCAGTAAGCTCTGCCCTGGTGGCTACAGACTGCCCCAGTAAGCTCTGCCCTGG